AGCCTCTGAAAGTTGGGTGATATTGGGTTGCTTAGCACCCTGTGAAAGATTTCTCAAATTTCTTACTGCGCATATGCTGCTCACTGGCTCGATCGCTCTTCATCCGTTAACGGAGTTCACCACACCACGCACTAGTTTAGCCAAACCACACACTGCTCTACAAGGCCGAATTGGCCTATTTGCATGCTAATTAGGACTACCGGAACATAGCTGCCTCATCTGAATAGTCTAGCTCGCAACTGCGTGCCACATGTTTCGCTCTATACGGGTCAGCATTCTGTATTCAGTCTCCCCCATGTTATTCTTGTAAATAGAGCTATGTGCAACGAGTTATACTATAGACACACACTAGCAGCTAGGCTAAATGATATCTTAAACCAATGCTGTGAGCGTATGTACCACATATGGTAGCCTTTTTTTTCATGCTTAAGTCAAGGAATGCACAAAAACATCACGAGCCATAGCTTGGTGGGACACTTTGTATTCTATGGCCTTTTACTATTTGTGCTGTATTCATTGTAAGGCCATTTACAATTGCATCCACCACACCAGACCACCACACGTGTTTTTCCGAATCATAATATTCGATACAAGACAAGCCTAGTCCCTACTCCGAGCCTGGACCGAACCGACTGAGCGTTTCAACGCGCTCGCGACTCGAGCCGCAAAACAAGAATTCCTGCTGCTGTTTTCAACGCGAACAGTTGGGGGTAAGTTGTAACATTGCTGCCCATTGTGTTTTGGACGCCCATTGCTTTTTTTTGGCTTGTCCGCCCATTCTTGCTTCCCCCGCTGAATTTCAGTTGCACAGAAATATTGCTGGCAGTGTAGTGTAGTCTTCATTTCGTTATCAAACAATGGATGTTCTGTTTAGGAGTTTGCGGGCGTAAACTCACGGTGCTACTGAAAGGGTGTGGAACCTTATCCAAAACGTTCGAGTTGCTCCATATAAATATCTCACCCCAGAAGCATTGCTGTTCACAGGCCTGGTCAGGTTTGTGATTCCCGTCTCACTCAGTTAATAAAGCAGACTTCCAAATCGGGCGTACTTACCATACCATAATCCAGTATGAGAATAAGTGTACTCACATCCTTTGTACTTACAGCCAAAACTACGGGCAGTTTGTCTCGTTCGGCAGCACAAATTTTGTCTGCCCACCGACCGACAACACAAACCAATTACGTAGAGCAGCTGCTGTTCATCCCACCACACAAATCCCCATGGGACCCCACCCCACCTCCTCCCCACTACATTCCATCACCCCACCACCCTCATTTCGACGGTTGGCAGTGGCTCTGCTCTGCTCTGTATATACATCAGTGCACCCAGATTTCAGTAAACCATTCCTGTCTTCCACAGTAATCTAGCCCGTTCTGGCTTTTTTCTTCCATCTGCAACGGGAAGCAGGAGCATCGTCGTCGCGAGAAAGAATGGCGCGCTCGGGGTATTGCGCTTTTAAGCCTCACGGGAGGAGACTGGACTGCCTAGCAGCCGTTTCTTCCGTCGCGTTGCTTCTCCTCGTGGCAGGTCTTCCTGGCATCGAAAGTTTAAATCTTGCGCAAAAGCCTGCGGCGCCGCCAGTCACCCGCGACCAGATGATAACAGAGATTAAATACGCGGCTACCATCATCAAGAAGAACGTGAACTACACCAAGATTGCCAGCTTCGCGAGCACGCTACGTAAGTTTCTCGACGATGTCACTCGATATTTTCACGCTGTATTGCAATTTTGCGCGAGCGCGAGGGCCGGAGGATGCCGGGGAGGTATAACTCGGTGAATGCCGCATCTAGTGTTTGGGGACAAAAGCACCAAGAACACGTGACGGCGTCCAGTGACCGTACGTCTGCCAGCGGACCGCCTAGCAGCGGTCCGCCTAGAAACGGACCGCCTGGCAGCGGACCGCCTAGAAAGGGACCGCCTGGCAGCAAATCCTTGTGGCCGCCGGCGGACGTACAGGAGGACAGCTCTCCATGATGAGCCTCAACTTGCGATGCTCCGGAGTTTCGAAACAGTCCGACAGCTTTTTTAGCGTGACCTTTGTGCAACCATCGTTTACCTGACCATCGTTGTGTCTGCCTTCTCTTTTTCGCTCTTTCGCCCCGATTACATGCCTTTCTTCCAGTACCCAAGGCCCCCAAGAAGTACGACATTACTAAAGTATACAACAGCACCATTCTCCTCGCCAACAACGACGCGCTGAAGGTGCTCTTACAGAAGGTGCCTATAACGCAGCTCGACAAGCTCTTTCAGGTGCTTCAGTACGTGACGATTCGCGGGCGGTGGAACTTGGTGGCCTTCAAGAAGCTCCCCCCACGGCAGTTTGACACGTGGCTCGGCAAAAAGATCCAGAAAACGTCAGCAGCGAATGTGGCGCCTGTTACCTTCGGCGCTCCGGGCTCTTCCGCGGGCAAATGGACTCACGTGGTGACGGCAAAGTTGTACAGTGGGCCCTACTTTACTGTTCATGGGATAGACTACTGCATTATTGTCTGAGAAAGGTTTTGGATTTCAGCAGGAAGCATTCCTGCTCTGTGTAAGGCCACTTTCTTCTGTCACCCGAGCTTTCTGCTGGTGCAACTGTGTAGATTGTAAAAGGGAGGCAAGTTGCTTCCTGAAGCAGCCTGTTTCGTCTAGAAAGTCACCAGCTGATCTTGAATGTCTTGGTTATTTGCATGCTAATGAAGTCTTTTTGCATCAAGATGAGATTGGTTGATGTAATGCGTGCAATTGGGTGAATATAGTAGATGGAGATTTATAGGCCTAGTGTTGTCCCCTTGGTTTAATCAACAATGTAACACCGGGACGGATGGAAAAAGTTAACAACATCGAGCAACAGAAGGTCAGTACTGCCAAGTTGGCAGAACCTAAATGTAATGTAGTCTCTTATGGAGGTGGTTGGAATGGAAGCGTGTAAAGAGAAATGTGTATGCGGCCTCATTCAAATCAATCGATCCGACATTGCAATATTGGAACACGTCGCGTTTCGAAGGTGCAGCCAACATCTTTTAACGAGGGATAGATTCAAACTAGCGTCGTTACAAGGCCAAAACTGTCGAATGAAGTTCGGCCGCAGCGCAGCTGCTGGGGCCGCTTGTCTTTGGTGTGGCAGCCACGTCGGGACGTGGTTTGGGCAAGCCCGTCCATTTCAAACCTTCGCTGCTCAAACGAAGGTCTGCCGAGCCTAGTCGTTTTGCGTGGGGCCGCGCGCATCTGAGAGCTGAACTTGATACACCAAATGTACGTTTGACTACTGACTTGTTTTTCCACTTGATTCACAACGATTTTTCAGCGTCCAATCCGGGCTTTGATGGAAAACAGTTTTGCTTGACAGAGTATGTTTTCAATCATGCTCCGTGGGAAGTATATTGGACTTGGTTGAGTGAGTCAGCAACCAAAGAAACCCGTTTAATAGCCCACTGCTTGTTTAGCGTGGAGTTGATAAGTTCGATAGGTGCATTTTCTCTTAAGACAATCAAGGTCTTGCATAGTGAATAACATGTATGCTGTCGGTGGTTCCCCACAGAAGACTTCTTGCCGTTTTTAGCCGCTCTTGCGTTTCAGGGTTCTAGGACAATCTGGGTAGAAACAAAAATGTCAGCAGAATCTTTACTTTGGCCCTGCAATGTTTCAAACACTCCAGCTTTGCAGGGTTGTGACACGCTTACTAAGTCCTGATCGGTGTCCCATCCGAAACTTAAGGACGTGTTACGATTCGCCTCAGATTGCCTCGATTAGAAGCGATTAATAACTTCCAGGAAGCTACGAAAGCGATTTCAGGCAATCGGGGGCAGTCACTTGATCGCGATCAGCTGATCGCCCCAACTCGATCAACCGCCTAAAACAGCCCAATCAAACACAATCACACACAATCGCCGACGATCAGTTGATTGCTTTGGTTCGGGGTACCAAGCGACATTGACGAAATGTTACATTATTACGCTAACTTTCGTGAAGACATCGCTCAAACATGCTCCTCCACAAATGTTTACGCGAAATAACAGGGCAACATTGAGCTTCGCTAGATCCTTGCTGCGGCCTTCGCCCTCGCCAAAGTAGAAACGAAATTGTCAGGAAAGGGTAGCGCGCTTGCGTAATACCCTCCTAGAATTTCTGAGGAATATCTCAGCTGATCGGGCGGCGCGATCAGATCAGACATGACCAGATCACAGGCAATCAGACGCGAACCGTAACACGTCCTAATGCCACCTTACGTCGCACCCCACCAAGCAAGTCTTCATCCCTACTTCCCCACCTTCGCTGCAAAACAGGTATAAGCACGGAGATCGATCCCTGTTCGTTTTTTCCCCCTCGTGATTTTTCCTTCCAACGCCAACATTGGCCGGGACGTGTTTAGACCGGACTCGGGTTTTACCTGGTTGACGAAACAAACACCCGGAAAACAACTTCGAATGGGCGTCCAGCTCCAGTCCGATTGTACCAGATCGCGCGTCGCTGTTGCTGACTCTATACTGTAGTTGTTGTAGCTTTGTGTGCAACCACGCTTGCCACGTATCTATTCTGGTACTGTAACGAGGCGTTTCAAGTTAGCCTGTAAGTGATGCGTGTGATGTGAGTCCTCCCACCGACACTTGCAACGTGGATTGCTTGAACGGCTGCGATGGAAGACCACTGAACTCCACTGACCAACCGCCCAAGCCTGACAGACTACGGCTTGGCTTGGGTGGTTCGACAACGAACCACAACACACCTCCCCGCCCCCTTCCTTACCTCACCAACCCATCCGTGGTTTCCTTGTCCCCGTCAGTGATGGTTTCTGGATCATAAATCGCTGCTCACAGTCGCAGAAACATTGCCCAGCCCCCAGCCTTCTCGTTTCGAGTACCTGCATCTCAAGGCGTGTCAGTCAAACTCAGGTGGTACCGCTTTTTCTTCAGGTACCAGTTCCAGCTTTTTGCTACTGACAAGCTTGAAGTCGCTTAGACCATTGATAAGGAACTATTTTAAACATATTCATTTTCTTGGTTCGATCGCAATACCATGGCGCGAATGTTGGGCGCTGCTAGGTTGCTCTCCGTTCGAGTCGTGTACGGGCTGTTGCTTGCCCTGGTGCTGTTTGCCGCGCTCCACGTTGACGCCTTGCGGCAAGCGTCGCCCACCGGGCGACCGACGCGGGACCAGATGCTCAAGGAGATTAAGGTGGCCACGTCAGTCGTAAAGCAAAAGCCGGGCTATAAGAGAGTCGCTACTCTAATCCAAGTTGGACGTAAGTACAAGTACAGTAACTGGTTGCACACGAAATATGATTTAAACTCCATATTTGTGCATGTGTCGCGTGCCTGCCTCTAATCTGTCTGCCTATCAAAGTCGAACTCCTCCTTTGGCCTGCAGTAGCAACAGACCTGCCAGGCGATTGAAGGCCCAAGTGCCCTTTTGTATCTGTACAGTAAAAACGGTCCAAGTTAGAGTTCCCGACCTCGTGAAGGAAACAATGCGGATATTGCGTTCTGACAGCATGCTGAGGACGGCTGAAGCGGTTGATTCCCCAGGACGATGCGCGCCGAACGAGAGTTCAAGCATTTCTGTTTTTTGGATTCCATCATTCTTCAATAACATACCACTGTTGTTTAATCTACGCCCCCCGCTCTGCTCCACCCTCCCCTACGACCCCTTTCCACCCCAGTCCCGAAAGCTCCGAAGAAGTATGATATCACGAGGCTTTATAACGGGACCCTCCTAGCAGGCAACGACAATGCGGTGAAGGTGCTGTTGAAGAAAATCGACGTGGCCAAACCCGCGGATTTGGACAAGGTGTTTCGGATGCTGCTACAAATGACCCTCCAAGGCCGCTTCAACGACACTCTCTTGAAGAAGAAGCCCATGGTTAATTTTCCGACGAATGGGGTGAGTCCCCTGAAGAAGATGACACCGAAAAACGCGCCGCAGATCACGTTCGGAGTGCCTGGGAGTCCAGCGACCACTTGGGCGACGATGCTCACTCCGAATCTGTACGTTGGGAAATGGTTCACTGTGCATGGCGTTAACTACTTCATCATTTAAGAGGTATTCAACCCTGAGGGTATGGTGGCAACTGCCAAGCAGTATCAGTGGAAGCAGGTGAGGAGGAAGTAGACCTCAAGTTGTGCTTGAAGGCGTCTCTTTTTATGTGATGTCGTGCAGAGTAATGATTCAGAGTGCCAATTTTTATTTTGGATCAGTGAAATGCAAGCCTGTTCATTAGGGAGAGGAGAGTGCTTGATACACAATCAAGCAATAGGTGGCAACTAATGTGGATTCTATCTGGCCAACACAACACAGTCCCTACACAAACATTAGCACGTTCCAAGTGAAAGATACATTTCTTCAACTTTCCCAGATTGAAAAGCTAGGCCAATTATAAGTTGTGGGAGTGAACACTCTTCTCAGACCAATCTCAAGAGGCCACACAAATGAAAATTAGTCTACGTCTTCTCCTATCTGTTCAGAAATCCATACTATTTTGCTACATCAACTGCACTAGGTCCTGTACCCAGTTTTTGGCGAATCGCATCCAAACCTCCAACCATTTGCTTCACCAGTTGTCACAATGCAATACGCCTCAGTTTGGATGGTCGGTCGGCAGCATGGCGACTTCCCTGTCCCTCGTCATCGCCGCCACCGCCATCAAACGGCTTTGCTTGGAGCATTTCGCGGTAGCAACGCAAGAACCTAAATCGAAACGGCCAGACAAGGAAGTGATTCTTGCTTCTTCAGCAGCACATGTGCGATGCACCCTCCCTGCCGCTTCTGCGAGAACCACACCGTCACTCGCTTCCGTCGACTGATAGGCTTGTGACCTAGGGCTCTCCCCCACCAGTCACCCTCCTCTCGCATTCCAGTTTCAGAGGCGTGTAGAGGTGATGCCCATCAATTTGTTTGGTTTGGAACTTTGGAGCATGTGGTGGAGTCGAGCTTGCATGCAATGCAACCCCGTCGCCTCGCCTTTGCTTGCGTTGCGGCCACCGACCGACGCCGCCATCTTCATTGGCAGGCGGCGGCTCTCTCTGGTCGGTGGCGGCTTCGCCCCGCCAGCCCGTTCGGTTACTACTGGGTGGCAGCAGCTGCGAATCGGCTATGTACTGTACAGTGACGCGCGTCGGTTCCAGGAGCCGCCATTTACAGCGTGTAGTATCAGCAAAGTGAGACGACGGTTTGACCAGGCTCGGCGGTTCGAAATTTAGACTCTTGATTAGGAGAGGTTTCGCCCCAGCCACCCACCGACCCACACCCTAAGATGACCCGAGACCAGTTGAGCCTGCATGAAGATTTGCGAAAAAAACGGCTAGGGAATTCAGCGCCCTGACCTTCGGCGAATTGGCGGGCTTTCAGGGCTCTCCGCATGATAATACAAAGCTTTCACGCGAGTGCGGCAAGAAATGTCTTATCATTCTGGCAGTGCTGTTGCGTGTTTTTGCCAGCGCTTCTTTGTTCCCCAAGTAAGGCCCGGAGGAGCGGCGCTTGAGTCTTGCCGAATGACAGACAGATTCGCGCCACCGCGATCCCACTAGGCGCTTCCCATATCAGCTTTACTACTACTAGCTCCACTCTCCGACACCTCATGGCGGGCCGGAATGTTCTCGCCGTGCTGCTTCTTCTGTATTCGATCCACGCCGCGACCTTCGTCACAGCCGTACACGGCCGCCATGATGTGCGGCTCGCCGCGATTCCCAAGGGCCAGCTGCCGACGCGCGAGCAGATGCTAGCGGAGGTGGCGAAAGCCATGGCGGTGGTGAAAAAGAACCCCAACTACACCAAGATCGCCTCCATCGGCAAGACTCTCCGTGAGTGCGCTGCGCGTTTGCATTGCACCTGGATCGAGAAAAGAACTTGTGTGTGAATTTTCCCTTTTTGTTTAAATTCTTACAGGAATCATCAGTCTGCCCAGGCTTTTTGTCGGACTGTGATTAGCTCAGTTCCGCCCGGACCAAGTACTGCCGTACGAGTGTTGTCCACCGTGTTTGTTCTCTGTGCCCACCTTCCGTCCTCCTCCGTTTCATTCCGATCTCTTCCGTTGCCTTTTCAGTCCCGAAAGCGCCCAAAAAGTACGACGTACGGCAGGCCTACAACAGCACGATTCTCGTCGGCAGCAACGACGCCATCACCAGCCTCATGAAACGCGTCCCTATAACGCAGCTCGATCGGCTGTTTCAGACGCTACAGTACATGACGATTCGCGGAAGATGGACGATTGCAAAGCTGCAAAAGCAGGGCACGACGAAATTCGCCACGTGGTACGGCAAGCTCCCGCTGCAGAAGATGACGCTCGCGAACTCTGCGACGCTGTCGTTCGGGAAACCTGGAAGCGCGCCGAGCAAGTGGACGACCATTCAGACGGCGGGCTTGTACCGCGGCCCTTATTTCACCGTCCACGGAGTTAACTACTGCATCGTCGTCTAGATAGCTCCTTCTCCTCCCCACACCTTACGGTTCGGTTCTCTCGGTCAACGCAAGAGGTCACTGCATCGAAATCTGGAGTCTGAGGAACGCAACGCATGTAGGATGTACCGTACGTAGTTGCTCTGCTGCTCCTTTATGTTGCTCCCTTCTGATGCACAGCCCAGAGTGGGTAATTTTTGCAGAATCCCCGCGCTCTCCTCTTCCCTTTCCATGCCACTGGGATACATTAAAGGTGGTAAAAGGGACTGTTTTGTGGCCAGGCCATGTCGCGTGGATAATATATGTATATTGGTACATACGGTATAACCTTATAGCACTTAACGTTTCGTGTAAAAACACAGGTGCAGCGCAGTGCATCATGAAGGTCATGACAGCACAATGTGCACCGGCCTTGTTGGCAGCCATACTTACGGCATAAGTCTAGCGCATGAGGTTGCATTGCAACGGTACATTACCCCACAGCTGTAATCTGAAGTCTCAATCACACAAGCTGTGAAGGGGCCAGAGGACGCAGTTCACCTGTATGGACGAAGAAAGAATACACACACATTAGCAACAGTAACACAAAGAAGTGACTCAGATAAGGTGACGAAAAACGCCAAAACATTCTATATATAAAAAATAAACGGTGAAGGGAAAACCAGTGTGCATGCACGTGTCATGTCGTACATATGTGTAAAAGATAAGAAAAAGAGGACGATAATATTAAGGAGAAGCAGATGAAAAACAACCGACCTGATGCAGCAGCAGAGGCAGAAGCTGCCAGGAACAGAGCAGCTGTCCCCGTTACAAGCAGATCCGTTCCAAGCAGAAGAGCAAAGAGCCAAGTGGCATTGAAGGGAGCACATAGGGCTAGAGTAACTCCAAAAACGAGGGAGAGCGTGCCGGCTGCTGCTGTGATGAGTGAGGAGGGAGAGGAGGAGGGTGGGTGGGAGGAGGAGAGGGAGTGTGCGAAGGACAGCTTGCTCACACCCTGACACATGGTAGGTGGGACACGAGGGAGGGGAAAAAAGGGGGGGGGGGGGGGGGGGGGGGGGGGGGGGGGGGGGGGAAGGGAGGGGGGGTGGAGAAAAAAAGGTGGGAGGAAGGGGGTTATTACGGTCTGAGATTGTATTAGTCATTTGGCCACAGATGGCCTTCTAAACGGTGGTCACAAACGGGCAGGCAGAAAGGGGATGGTCAAAGGAGAGGAGCGGTGGGGGAAGGGGGTTTGAATGGGCTGGAGAGCTTGAATGAGTTTGCTCACACCCTGAGACATGTTTCACAAGGTAGGTGGGACATGTGGGAGGGGAAAAAAGGGGGAGAGAGTGAAGGTGGGAAGAAGGGTTTGTTGTTCTAGTCATATTGCCATAGGTGCCCTTTGAAAAGCCAGATGGGAAGTGAGGGAAGGGGGAGGAGTGGTGAGGGGTTGGGGAGGGCTTGAGGGGATTCGAGGGAAGTGTGGGAGTGGGGGAGTGCATGAGCCTTAGTCCTTCTCAGTGTGCGAAGGACGGACGCACCTTAGCCATGAACCAGGCTGCCAGGGCGAGAGCACCAAGCGAGGGGAGGAGCAGCAGCAGCAGCAGCAGCAGCGCAGTGGCGTTTGAGTTGACTCAAGAGGCATCTGAGAGTGCTAAGGACGCACCTTAGCCATGAACCAGGCTGCGAGGGCGAGAGTGAGGCCGAGCGCACCGAAGGAGGGGAAGAGCAGCAGCAGTAGTGCAGTGGCAGAGTGGAGACACGCGAGCAGCAGGAAGAGAGACGCGTCGGGAGCAGAGCGCTGCAGCAGGAACGCTGCTAGAGACGCCAGCCCTCCTATTGCAAGGACGATGGCTGGTGGGATGGGGATGGCGAAGGGGAAATGGGACGGAGGGGGGGGAGAGAGGGGGAGGGGGAAAAGGGGAGGGGAAAAGAGGGAGGCGGAAAGGGGAGGGGGAAAGGGGAGGGGGGGAAAAGGGGACGGAAAAGGGGGAGGGGGAAATGGGGAGGGGGAAAAGGGGAGGGGAAAGGGGGATAGGAAAGGGGGAGGTGGAACCGTTGGTGGATGAAGAGAGGAAGTTTGAGTGTAAAAGGGAGCAGAGCGCTGCAGCAGAAACGCTGCTAGCGACTACAGCCCCCTATTGCAAGGACAATGGCTGGTGTGATGGGAATAACGAAGAGGTGAAAAAAGGAGGGGAGGGGGGGTGGGGAGGAGGGGAAGGGGAAGGGGAGGAATTGGGGGAAAGGGGGAGGTGGAACGGATGGGATTAAAGAGGGGGCGATCTTAGGAATGAGAAAGAGACGAATGCCAGTTTGGATTCTACACATGCATGGCATGGCGACAATTGATGAGACAGCTGGTATCGACAGGTACCATAGCACACCAGCATCATCATCCCACTACCACAACCACCACCCGGGTGCATGAGCTCCGTTCTTGGTGACTTTTGAGTCGACTCAAAATTCATTCCACTATACGGTCCTTTCTTGGCTTACCCACGAGCAGCTCCAGCGTGACTGTGAAGGCCATGGGGAAGACTATTGCCGTGACCCCCGCTGTGCATAGTGCTGTGGTGCACGTGAACGCAGAGCGAGGGAGGGAGGGACGGGGAGAGGGAGGGAGGGAGGGGGAGAGGGAGGGGGAGAGGGAGGGAGGGAGGGAGGGAGGGAGGGAGGGAGGGAGGGAGGGAGGGAGGGAGGGGCAGAACAATAGTGGTTACAGTTAAAGATTGTGAACATGAGAGCAGAGGGAGGGGCGGCGGGAAGCAAGTGGGGTGGGGGGATTCGCGTAAGAAAATGACGAGGGGAGAGTGATGGAGTGCTAAGGACGCGCGGGGGAAATGGGGGAAGCGGGGGGTGGGGGGGTTGTGGGGAGTAGAGGGAGAGTGGGAAATGCTGGGAAGAGGCATGATGAGATCCAAGCGCAAGCAGAAAGAGGAATGCTACAATGACCCAAGCTGGAATGAGAAAAGTGCAGCATTTGCCGATCTTCCCCCGCAGTCATAGCAGTAAAAGACCCAGCGCAGTGCGCACCCATGCACATTCCCCATCTTCCCCCTCCCCTCCCCCCCCCCCCTTCCCCCATCCCCCCCCTCTTTCCCCCCCCAACTGTCCCCCACGCATATCCCTTTCCCCTCCCCCCCCTCCACGCATACCCCTTTCCCCCCCCCCCCCCCCCCCCCCCCCCCCCCCCCCCCCCCCCCCCCCCACCCCCCCCCAACCCTTCCCCTTCCCCCACCCCCCACAACCTTCTCCATCCCCTCCCCAAACCCTTCCTCCCCCCCCCCCCCCCCCCCACCCCCTTCTCCCCCTTCCCCCTTTTCCCCTTCCCCCCGCACTTCCAACGACGTGCCCCGCGCATACCGCATCCGTAGATGGCAGTGTGCATGTACGGGTAGCGCCGCGATCCTGCCGGCAGCTGCTGCGGATGTGATTGTAACGAAGGCGCATGTAACGCGGCTGCTTGCGCCGATGACCCCCACGCGCCCGCCGCCGCCGCCGCCGCTCCGCCTCTCAGCGGCGCCCCGAAGATCGCCGCGGGGCCCATCGTCACCGCCGCCTCCTCCTCCGCCGCGCGCCTGGCGGAAGCCTTTCCGCCCGCGAGTCTTTCTCCGCCCAGCGCCGCTCCGCCTGCTCCGCTTGCTCCGCCAGGGTTCCTTCCGCCGTCCCCCGAGCTCGCGCCTCCTCCGCAGCCGTCCCTCCCGTCGCCTCTAGCCGCTCCGCTGCTTGCGCCTGCTTCCCCACGTTTCCCCGAATCGACACCGCCAACTCCCCCCCGTCTCTCCCCCGCCACCGCGGAAGCCTTAATGGTTTCCCCCAAGGGAGAGAGGACGGCGGAAGATAGGAACGAGCGCGCAGCTTCCGCAATGGAGTTGGGGAGGAAGGGTGAAGCGAGTGGCGGGGAGGTGGCGGGGGAGCAGGCGGAAAGGGAATAGGTCGGCGGAGATCGCGCGGAACGGGGGGAGTAAGGGGAACGCGGGGAATGGGGGGAGTTGAGGTGCGGGGAGGGGAAGACAGCGGGCGCGGCGGATGGGATGGGCGGAGGTTGCTCGTGCGGGGGAAGATATGGCGGAGCGCGGGGAGGGGAGATATACGGCGAGGGATAGGTGGAAGAGAATGGAGGCTTCATGTAAGGCGGGGATACATGGCCTGTCACACTTATAGGCACTAGAGGATATCCTCTTAACGGAGCGACTGGTGGTGGTTCCGATTGAGCTGCTACCGTTGTCATGTTTTAAAAAGCAGGTAAGAGATTACGTCGAAGGGAATGCGGAGAAGTCTAAGAGGAGCGCCTAGATATGCTCACGGTAGGCTAGTAAGCGAGCCCGCGACATTATTGCGCGGGTGGTAATAAATATTGAGTTGATATTAGCTTCCGAGAGGGGAATGATCGAATAATCTGGAGGGTCTGGTCTGGTTATTCCCTCGATTCAGTACGTTAAAGAACGGTGTTGTAGGGTTTTCGAGCCAAACCGCTTTCGACCGTTGCGCAACAAAAGGAACCGTACCAAGTCCCAGAAGAGCAGGCATGAAGATGAGTCGTCCTCATGCATTACACCTGCTGCATTCTTCCTTCGGCCGTGTACTCCGCCATGTCAACGGCACACTGCAAGCAACCTCGGGTTTGCTCATTCATCTTGACGCTCTCGAGATGTACCACGGAGAATGCCCGTAAAGGAAAATACACTGTAAACATTACAAGACGCACTTACATATTGCTACGTTTCAAATGTGCCTTTAATAATGCAACTCGCTCTATTGCTCGGAATTTGAATTTAAGAATCCCAGTTACGGTCAGATCGATACTCCGGTGATTGAGGAATGTGGCTTGATTACTCCCAGGCCAATTGGCGCTCGCCGCAAAATCTGTGCGAGCCGAGCCACGTCATCTCACGAATTCGAACAGACAAGCAGTGGTGGAGCTGCTTTGGAAGCAGCTGTTGTTGAGCCTCGACCAAGCCTGGGCCCAAGGCAAAGTGACGACGCGTTATAAAGAGACCTTGTTTACATATAAGGTCTGCACATGCAAACATTTGTTCAGAGCTATACATACAGTCATCCTGGTTCTCATTTCGACAGGTGTGGTGGTATTTGGTACCAGGAAGAAAGTCGCAATCGGCCACTAATAAGCGCCGTGACATCTCTTCGCGACCTTCATAACGAAACCGCTTTCAGCCAAAACCGCGCGCATATTAGTAATTAAACGAATCTCATGGCTGACCTAGCGGCGAAACCGCCTGCGGAGCCAGCCGCTTCCGCCGGATTAGAGGAAGAAGAAGATGATGATTGGGAGTCCACGTGGGAAGACCACGTCGACAATTTCGCTTCCACGTCATTATCTGCCTTGTCACTAGCTCCAGCTCAAGCCGCGCCATCGTCGCGTGACGCTAATTCATTCCGTCCGAGCGACAAAAAAATAACTACCACACCTTCGTCGAAGCTTCGAACTGATGCTTCGCCCCAACCGGCCAGCTCAAACGGAAGGCTTTCCGGCGGCGGCGGAAGCGGCGGAAAATGCGGGGCTGGCGGAAAAAGCGGAGGTGGCGGAAGAAGCGCTGGCAGCTCGGGGGGTGCTGGCGGGGGTGGCGGTGCGCGGCAGAAGGGTCGCGGAAGGTTCAGTTTCGGTCAGCGCGGGCGCATGTACAGTGATGAGGCAGGGAGCGAGGAGTCTGAAGATTCGGATGATGCTTCTGAAAAAGAAGAGGAAATTATCGTTTATAAAGGGGCTAAGAATAACGCGTTTCCGCGTGGAAGCAGCAGAACCGTCAGCAATAGCAAGAACAGCAGCAGCAGCAGCAACAGCAATACCAGCAGCAGTAGGAAAGAGAAGGTGGGGGTAGAGGCAGCTCGAGTGGCGGTGACGAAAGCAGGAGGTGTAGGGAAGAAAGGGACGAAAGAGACCAAGGAAGCTGCGAGCGATGGGAAAAGGAGCAATGTCCGTTCTGCTGCTGCTGCGGCTGCTACCACTACTGCTGGTCTTGGTGTTGGTGCTGCTGGTGTTGCTGGTGCTGGTGTTGGTGATAACGTTGTGGCAGCTCCCTCTGCTGCTGCCGCTGCTGCAGCTGTGCCTTACCTGGCTGGGGCCTCCCGTTCAGATGCTACAGGCTGTGGTATCACCGATCCCACAACCGGTGCTGCTGCTGCTGCACTTGCCGCACCTGCCACTCCTCCTGCTGCTGCTGCAGTTGGTGATGGTGCTGCTGGTGCTGCTGCTGATGGTGCTGGTGCTGGTAGTGCTGCTGCTGACGGTAGTAGTCTCTTGGCAGTCAGCAGCAGCGACACGCCGACCCAGTCCAGTGAATTCAGCAGCCGGAGAAGCAGCACCAGCACCACCAGCACCGGCAGCACCGGCAGCAGCAGCAGCAGCTGCAGGCGAGCGGGCGTGGGAAGCGAGGCCACACGCGGGGGAGCAGACAGCAGGGAGGCTGGGGAGGAGATGCGATGGGAGCGAAGAGGAGCGCAGGGAGAAGAGCAGGCGGAGAGGAGAGCTGGGGAGTTGAGGGTTGGAGAGCAGAGGGTTGGAGAGCAGAGGGTTGGAGAGCAGAGGGTTGGAGAGCAGAGGGTTGGAGAGCAGAGGGTTGGAGAGCAGAGGGTTGGAGAGCAGAGGGTTGGAGAGCAGAGGGTTGGAGAGCAGAGGGTTGGAGAGCAGAGGGTTGGAGAGCAGAGGGTTGGAGAGCAGAGGGTTGGAGAGCAGAGGGTTGGAGAGCAGAGGGTTGGAGAGCAGAGGGTTGGAGAGCAGAGGGTTGGAGATCCGTACGAGTGGGAGGGGGGACGGGGTGAAGGGAGGAGGGGTGGAGCAAGAGGGGGTGACGTTGGGGAGGGAGGATGGGATGGGGAGGACCTTGCAACAGGTGTGCTGTGGGATGGGATGGGATGGGATGGAATGGGATGGGATGGGATGGGATAGGTGGGGTGGGGTGGGTTGGATGGGATGGTATGGGACGGAGTGGGGTTGGGTGGGGTGGTGCGATTTACACATTCCTTTGTTGTCAGAACCAGCCACCATATCTGCCTCTCTCCTAGCCATCCCCTCTGCTCCCTCTCCCCTTTCCCTATCCCTTCTTCCCCCCTCCTTTTGCCAAGTTTCTCTTTCCCCTCTCCTCTCCCCCGTTCCCGGTTCCCCCTCCTCCCTCGCTAATGTTGTTAGTGGAGCTATTGTTCCTCCCCTCCTCCCTTCCTTCATCCTCCTTCCCATTTCCACCTTTCCTCCTCTTCGCTTCGCCCTTCCTTTCAACGTCTCTTTTCCCCCTCCTCCCGTCCTCCCGTCCTCCCGACCTCCCCTCCTCTTCTCCTCCCCTCCTCTTCTCCTCCTGTCCTCTTCTCCTCCTGTCCTCCCCTCCTCTTCTCCCGTTCTCTTCTCCTCCCCTCCTCTCCTCCTCCCCTCCTCCTCTCCTCCCCTCCTCTCCTCCCCTCCTCCCCGAACGCCCCCAGTCCCCTACGGTGGACGGCACGTGCTGGAGGTGCTTGGTCTCTCTGATGACGTGGCCACTGCTGACGTGGAGGCAGTCATCCACAACCTAGTCATGGAAGCCACGTGCATGGATGCTGCTGGTAGAGCTGAAAGTGACCTCAGCTGCAGCAGCAGCAACAGCGCTACAAACACAGCAAGCATTCCGTTTGTGGTGCGGTGGATAAATGAGTCACATGCTCTTGCAGTCTTCCTCACACCCGCTCTTGGTATGTCATGCATGGGCATGGGCATGGGCGTGGGCGTGGGCATGGGCACGGGCATGGGCGTGGGCATGGGCACGGGCACGGGCATGGGGATGGGGATGGGCATGGGCATGGGTATGGGCATGGGCATGGGCATGGGCATGGGCATGGGCATGGGCATGGGCATGGGCTGCATGGGCATGGGCATAGGCCGTGGGCATGGGCACGGGGATAGGCATGGGCACGGGGATAGGCATGGGCACATGGGCATGGGCATGGGCATGGGCATGGGCATGGGCATGGGCATGGGCATAGGCGTGGGCATGGGCACGGGGATAGGCATGGGCACGGGGATAGGCATGGGCATGGGCATGGGCATGGGCATGGGCATGGGCATGGGCATGGGCACGAGCGAGGGAAGCACCATCTATATCACCATCTTCCTCCGTCGTTGATTGATCCACCCCTTTCCTCCCAAACCTCCCCCCCCCCCCCCCCCCCCCCCCCCCCCCCCTTTCTCAACCCCTTCCCTCCCCTCCTCCCCTCCTCCCCCACTCCTCCCCGCCACCCCGAGCTCAATAAGTTCTTTCCCCCCCAAACCACACTTCCCCCAACCCTCCCCCCCCCCACCTCTTCCGCCCTCTCATCCCTCCCCCTTCCCCCCTCCTCTTCCCTCTCCTCCCCCACGCCCTGTCTCCTCCCTCCCCCCACGCCCTCTCTCCTCGCCCCCCCAGCGTCCTCTGTGCTATCAGCAGCGACAGCAGCTCTGGCAGGCGCTGCCTCACCGCCCTTCCACTTCCGCCCTTTAGACACTGCCTCAGAGCACTACCCTTTCATCCGCCGACGAGGTGAGTGAAATTCGGAACACTATGCATGCAGTGATTCTGTCTGTAGCACTATCCGCCTACGGTTGACACCTGGTTCCCTCCCCCTTCCCGTGCAAGGCTCTCTGCACTCTGCTCCCTCTGTGACTCCCACTCAACCCCTCTCTACACCCACTGCTTTCTGCGCTTTGCTCCTCGCCTTCCCCGCCTTTCCCCACTTCCATTTCCGCCGTCTCGACACTGGCTCAGAGCATTCGTTCTGACACCCATCCAACCCCTGCACGAGTGACACTCGACCCATCCAACCCCTGCACGAGTGACACTCGACCCATCCAACCCCTGCTCGAGTGACACTCGACCCATCCAACCCCCTGCTCGAGTGACACTCGACCCATCCAACCCCTGCTCGAGTGACACTCGACCCATCCAACCCCTGCTCGAGTGACACTCGACCCATCCAACCCCTGCTCGAGTGACACTCGACCCATCCAACCCCTGCTCGAGTGACACTCGACCCATCCAACCCCTGCTCGAGTGACACTCGACCCATCCAACCCCTGCTCGAGTGACACTCGACCCATCCAACCCCTGCTCGAGTGACACTCGACCCATCCAACCCCTGCTCGAGTGACACTCGACCCATCCAACCCCTGCTCGAGTGACACTCGACCCATCCAACCCCTGCACGAGTGACACTCGACCCATCCAACCCCTGCTCGAGTGACACTCGACCCATCCAACCCCTGCTCGAGTGACACTCGACCCATCCAACCCCTGCTCGAGTGACACTCGACCCATCCAACCCCTGCTCGAGTGACACTCGACCCATCCAACCCCTGCACGAGTGACACTCGACCCATCCAACCCCTGCACGAGTGACACTCGACCCATCCAACCCCTGCACGAGTGACACTCGACCCATCCAACCCCTGCACGAGTGGCACTCGACCCATCCAACCCCTGCACGAGTGGCACTCGACCCATCCAACCCCTGCACGAGTGACACTCGACCCATCCAACCCCTGCACGAGTGGCACTCGACCCATCCAACCCCTGCACGAGTGGCACTCGACCCATCCAACCCCTGCTCGAGTGGCACTCGACCCATCCAACCCCTGCACGAGTGGCACTCGACCCATCCAACCCCTGCACGAGTGACACTCGACCCATCCAACCCCTGCACGAGTGGCACTCGACCCATCCAACCCCTGCACGAGTGGCACTCGACCCATCCAACCCCTGCTCGAGTGGCACTCGACCCATCCAACCCCTGCACGAGTGGCACTCGACCCATCCAACCCCTGCACGAGTGACACTCGACCCATCCAACCCCTGCACGAGTGGCACTCGACCCATCCAACCCCTGCACAAGTGGCACTCGACCCATCCAACCCCTGCACGAGTGGCACTCGACCCATCCAACCCCTGCACGAGTGGCACTCGACCCATCCAACCCCTGCACGAGTGACACTCGACCCATCCAACCCCTGCACGAGTGACACTCGACCCATCCAACCCCTGCACGAGTGACACTCGACCCATCCAACCCCTGCTCGAGTGACACTCGACCCATCCAACCCCTGCTCGAGTGACACTCGACCCATCCAACCCCTGCTCGAGTGACACTCGACCCATCCAACCCCTGCACGAGTGACACTCGACCCATCCAACCCCTGCTCGAGTGACACTCGACCCATCCAACCCCTGCACGAGTGACACTCGACCCATCCAACCCCTGCACGAGTGACACTCGACCCATCCAACCCCTGCTCGAGTGACACTCGACCCATCCAACCCCTGCTCGAGTGACACTCGACCCATCCGACCCCTGCACGAGTGACACTCGACCCATCCAACCCCTGCTCGAGTGACACTCGACCCATCCAACCCCTGCTCGAGTGACACTCGACCCATCCAACCCCTGCTCGAGTGACACTCGACCCATCCAACCCCTGCTCGAGTGACACTCGACCCATCCAACCCCTGCTCGAGTGACACTCGACCCATCCAACCCCTGCACGAGTGGCACTCGACCCATCCAACCCCTGCACGAGTGGCACTCGACCCATCCAACCCCTGCACGAGTGGCACTCGACCCATCCAACCCCTGCACGAGTGACACTCGACCCATCCAACCCCTGCACGAGTGACACTCGACCCATCCAACCCCTGCACGAGTGACACTCGACCCATCCAACCCCTGCTCGAGTGACACTCGACCCATCCAACCCCTGCACGAGTGACACTCGACCCATCCAACCCCTGCACGAGTGACACTCGACCCATCCAACCCCTGCTCGAGTGACACTCGACCCATCCAACCCCTGCTCGAGTGACACTCGACCCATCCAACCCCTGCTCGAGTGACACTCGACCCATCCAACCCCTGCTCGAGTGACACTCGACCCATCCAACCCCTGCTCGAGTGACACTCGACCCATCCAACCCCTGCTCGAGTGACACTCGACCCATCCAACCCCTGCACGAGTGACACTCGACCCATCCAACCCCTGCTCGAGTGACACTCGACCCATCCAACCCCTGCACGAGTGACACTCGACCCATCCAACCCCTGCTCGAGTGACACTCGACCCATCCAACCCCTGCTCGAGTGACACTCGACCCATCCAACCCCTGCTCGAGTGACACTCGACCCATCCAACCCCTGCTCGAGTGACACTCGACCCATCCAACCCCTGCTCGAGTGACACTCGACCCATCCAACCCCTGCTCGAGTGACACTCGACCCATCCAACCCCTGCTCGAGTGACACTCGACCCATCCAACCCCTGGTCGAGTGACACTCGACCCATCCAACCCCTGCACGAGTGACACTCGACCCATCCAACCCCTGCACGAGTGGCACTCGACCCATCCAACCCCTGCACGAGTGGCACTCGACCCATCCAACCCCTGCACGAGTGACACTCGACCCATCCAACCCCTGCTCGAGTGACACTCGACCCATCCAACCCCTGCTCGAGTGACACTCGACCCATCCAACCCCTGCACGAGTGACACTCGACCCATCCAACCCCTGCTCGAGTGACACTCGACCCATCCAACCCCTGCTCGAGTGACACTCGACCCATCCAACCCCTGCTCGAGTGACACTCGACCCATCCAACCCCTGCACGAGTGACACTCGACCCATCCAACCCCTGCACGAGTGGCACTCGACCCATCCAACCCCTGCACGAGTGGCACTCGACCCATCCAACCCCTGCTCGAGTGACACTCGACCCATCCAACCCCTGCTCGAGTGACACTCGACCCATCCAACCCCTGCTCGAGTGACACTCGACCCATCCAACCCCTGCTCGAGTGACACTCGACCCATCCAACCCCTGCTCGAGTGACACTCGACCCATCCAACCCCTGCACGAGTGGCACTCGACCCATCCAACCCCTGCACGAGTGGCACTCGACCCATCCAACCCCTGCACGAGTGACACTCGACCCATCCAACCCCTGCACGAGTGGCACTCGACCCATCCAACCCCTGCACGAGTGGCACTCGACCCATCCAACCCCTGCACGAGTGGCACTCGACCCATCCAACCCCTGCTCGAGTGGCACTCGACCCATCCAACCCCTGCACGAGTGGCACTCGACCCATCCAACCCCTGCACGAGTGGCACTCGACCCATCCAACCCCTGCACGAGTGGCACTCGACCCATCCAACCCCTGCACAAGTGGCACTCGACCCATCCAACCCCTGCACGAGTGGCACTCGACCCATCCAACCCCTGCACGAGTGACACTCGACCCATCCAACCCCTGCTCGAGTGACACTCGACCCATCCAACCCCTGCACGAGTGACACTCGACCCATCCAACCCCTGCTCGAGTGACACTCGACCCATCCAACCCCTGCACGAGTGACACTCGACCCATCCAACCCCTGCACGAGTGACACTCGACCCATCCAACCCCTGCTCGAGTGACACTCGACCCATCCAACCCCTGCTCGAGTGACACTCGACCCATCCAACCCCTGCTCGAGTGACACTCGACCCATCCAACCCCTGCACGAGTGACACTCGACCCATCCAACCCCTGCTCGAGTGACACTCGACCCATCCAACCCCTGCTCGAGTGACACTCGACCCATCCAACCCCTGCTCGAGTGACACTCGACCCATCCAACCCCTGCTCGAGTGACACTCGACCCATCCAAGCCCTGCTCGAGTGACACTCGACCCATCCAAGCCCTGCTCGAGTGACACTCGACCCATCCAAGCCCTGCTCGAGTGACACTCGACCCATCCAACCCCTGCACGAGTGACACTCGACCCATCCAACCCCTGCTCGAGTGACACTCGACCCATCCAACCCCTGCTCGAGTGACACTCGACCCATCCAACCCCTGCTCGAGTGACACTCGACCCATCCAACCCCTGCACGAGTGACACTCGACCCATCCAACCCCTGCACGAGTGACACTCGACCCATCCAACCCCCTGCACGAGTGACACTCGACCCATCCAACCCCTGCACGAGTGGCACTCGACCCATCCAACCCCTGCTCGAGTGACACTCGACCCATCCAACCCCTGCACGAGTGACACTCGACCCATCCAACCCCTGCACGAGTGGCACTCGACCCATCCAACCCCCTGCTCGAGTGACACTCGACCCATCCAACCCCTGCTCGAGTGACACTCGACCCATCCAACCCCTGCACGAGTGACACTCGACCCATCCAACCCCTGCTCGAGTGACACTCGACCCATCCAACCCCTGCTCGAGTGACACTCGACCCATCCAACCCCTGCTCGAGTGACACTCGACCCATCCAACCCCTGCTCGAGTGACACTCGACCCATCCAAGCCCTGCTCGAGTGACACTCGACCCATCCAAGCCCTGCACGAGTGACACTCGACCCATCCAAGCCCTGCTCGAGTGACACTCGACCCATCCAACCCCTGCACGAGTGACACTCGACCCATCCAACCCCTGCTCGAGTGACACTCGACCCATCCAACCCCTGCACGAGTGACACTCGACCCATCCAACCCCTGCACGAGTGACACTCGACCCATCCAACCCCTGCTCGAGTGACACTCGACCCATCCAACCCCTGCTCGAGTGACACTCGACCCATCCAAGCCCTGCTCGAGTGACACTCGACCCATCCAAGCCCTGCTCGAGTGACACTCGACCCATCCAAGCCCTGCTCGAGTGACACTCGACCCATCCAACCCCTGCACGAGTGACACTCGACCCATCCAACCCCTGCTCGAGTGACACTCGACCCATCCAACCCCTGCTCGAGTGACACTCGACCCATCCAACCCCTGCTCGAGTGACACTCGACCCATCCAAGCCCTGCTCGAGTGACACTCGACCCATCCAAGCCCTGCTCGAGTGACACTCGACCCATCCAACCCCTGCACGAGTGACACTCGACCCATCCAACCCCTGCACGAGTGACACTCGACCCATCCAACCCCTGCTCGAGTGACACTCGACCCATCCAACCCCTGCACGAGTGGCACTCGACCCATCCAACCCCTGCACGAGTGGCACTCGACCCATCCAACCCCTGCACGAGTGGCACTCGACCCATCCAACCCCTGCTCGAGTGACACTCGACCCATCCAACCCCCTGCTCGAGTGACACTCGACCCATCCAACCCCTGCTCGAGTGACACTCGACCCATCCAACCCCTGCACGAGTGACACTCGACCCATCCAACCCCTGCACGAGTGACACTCGACCCATCCAACCCCTGCTCGAGTGACACTCGACCCATCCAACCCCTGCTCGAGTGACACTCGACCCATCCAACCCCTGCTCGAGTGACACTCGACCCATCCAACCCCTGCACGAGTGACACTCGACCCATCCAACCCCTGCACGAGTGACACTCGACCCATCCAACCCCTGCACGAGTGACACTCGACCCATCCAACCCCTGCTCGAGTGACACTCGACCCATCCAACCCCTGCTCGAGTGACACTCGACCCATCCAACCCCTGCTCGAGTGACACTCGACCCATCCAACCCCTGCACGAGTGACACTCGACCCATCCAACCCCTGCTCGAGTGGCACTCGACCCATCCAACCCCTCCTCGAGTGACACTCGACCCATCCAACCCCTGCACGAGTGACACTCGACCCATCCAACCCCCTGCTCGAGTGACACTCGACCCATCCAACCCCTGCTCGAGTGACACTCGACCCATCCAACCCCTGCTCGAGTGACACTCGACCCATCCAACCCCTGCACGAGTGACACTCGACCCATCCAACCCCTGCTCGAGTGACACTCGACCCATCCAACCCCTGCTCGAGTGACACTCGACCCATCCAACCCCTGCTCGAGTGACACTCGACCCATCCAAGCCCTGCTCGAGTGACACTCGACCCATCCAAGCCCTGCTCGAGTGACACTCGACCCATCCAACCCCTGCACGAGTGACACTCGACCCATCCAACCCCTGCACGAGTGACACTCGACCCATCCAACCCCTGCTCGAGTGACACTCGACCCATCCAACCCCTGCTCGAGTGACACTCGACCCATCCAACCCCTGCTCGAGTGACACTCGACCCATCCAACCCCTGCTCGAGTGACACTCGACCCATCCAACCCCTGCACGAGTGGCACTCGACCCATCCAACCCCTGCACGAGTGGCACTCGACCCATCCAACCCCTGCACGAGTGGCACTCGACCCATCCAACCCCTGCACGAGTGACACTCGACCCATCCAACCCCTGCACGAGTGACACTCGACCCATCCAACCCCTGCTCGAGTGACACTCGACCCATCCAACCCCTGCTCGAGTGACACTCGACCCATCCAACCCCTGCTCGAGTGACACTCGACCCATCCAACCCCTGCTCGAGTGACACTCGACCCATCCGACCCCTGCACGAGTGACACTCGACCCATCCAACCCCTGCACGAGTGACACTCGACCCATCCAACCCCTGCACGAGTGACACTCGACCCATCCAACCCCTGCTCGAGTGACACTCGACCCATCCAACCCCTGCTCGAGTGACACTCGACCCATCCAACCCCTGCTCGAGTGACACTCGACCCATCCAACCCCTGCTCGAGTGACACTCGACCCATCCAACCCCTGCACGAGTGACACTCGACCCATCCAACCCCTGCACGAGTGACACTCGACCCATCCAACCCCTGCTCGAGTGACACTCGACCCATCCAACCCCTGCTCGAGTGACACTCGACCCATCCAACCCCTGCTCGAGTGACACTCGACCCATCCAACCCCTGCTCGAGTGACACTCGACCCATCCAACCCCTGCTCGAGTGACACTCGACCCATCCAACCCCTGCACGAGTGACACTCGACCCATCCAACCCCTGCACGAGTGGCACTCGACCCATCCAACCCCTGCACGAGTGGCACTCGACCCATCCAACCCCTGCTCGAGTGACACTCGACCCATCCAACCCCTGCTCGAGTGACACTCGACCCATCCAACCCCTGCTCGAGTGACACTCGACCCATCCAACCCCTGCTCGAGTGACACTCGACCCATCCAACCCCTGCTCGAGTGACACTCGACCCATCCAACCCCTGCTCGAGTGACACTCGACCCATCCAACCCCTGCACGAGTGACACTCGACCCATCCAACCCCTGCACGAGTGACACTCGACCCATCCAACCCCTGCACGAGTGGCACTCGACCCATCCAACCCCTGCACGAGTGGCACTCGACCCATCCAACCCCTGCACGAGTGACACTCGACCCATCCAACCCCTGCACGAGTGGCACTCGACCCATCCAACCCCTGCACGAGTGGCACTCGACCCATCCAACCCCTGCACGAGTGGCACTCGACCCATCCAACCCCTGCTCGAGTGGCACTCGACCCATCCAACCCCTGCACGAGTGGCACTCGACCCATCCAACCCCTGCACGAGTGGCACTCGACCCATCCAACCCCTGCACGAGTGGCACTCGACCCATCCAACCCCTGCACGAGTGGCACTCGACCCATCCAACCCCTGCACGAGTGGCACTCGACCCATCCAACCCCTGCACGAGTGGCACTCGACCCATCCAACCCCTGCACGAGTGGCACTCGACCCATCCAACCCCTGCACGAGTGACACTCGACCCATCCAACCCCTGCTCGAGTGACACTCGACCCATCCAACCCCTGCTCGAGTGACACTCGACCCATCCAACCCCTGCACGAGTGACACTCGACCCATCCAACCCCTGCTCGAGTGACACTCGACCCATCCAACCCCTGCACGAGTGACACTCGACCCATCCAACCCCTGCACGAGTGACACTCGACCCATCCAACCCCTGCTCGAGTGACACTCGACCCATCCAACCCCTGCTCGAGTGACACTCGACCCATCCAACCCCTGCTCGAGTGACACTCGACCCATCCAACCCCTGCTCGAGTGACACTCGACCCATCCAACCCCTGCTCGAGTGACACTCGACCCATCCAACCCCTGCACGAGTGACACTCGACCCATCCAACCCCTGCACGAGTGACACTCGACCCATCCAACCCCTGCTCGAGTGACACTCGACCCATCCAACCCCTGCTCGAGTGACACTCGACCCATCCAGCCCCTGCTCGAGTGACACTCGACCCATCCAACCCCTGCTCGAGTGACACTCGACCCATCCAACCCCTGCACGAGTGACACTCGACCCATCCAACCCCTGCTCGAGTGACACTCGACCCATCCAACCCCTGCTCGAGTGACACTCGACCCATCCAACCCCTGCTCGAGTGACACTCGACCCATCCAACCCCTGCTCGAGTGACACTCGACCCATCCAACCCCTGCACGAGTGACACTCGACCCATCCAACCCCTGCACGAGTGACACTCGACCCATCCAACCCCTGCTCGAGTGACACTCGACCCATCCAACCCCTGCACGAGTGACACTCGACCCATCCAACCTCTGCTCGAGTGACACTCGACCCATCCAACCCCTGCTCGAGTGACACTCGACCCATCCAACCCCTGCTCGAGTGACACTCGACCCATCCAACCCCTGCACGAGTGACACTCGGCCCATCCAACCCCTGCACGAGTGACACTCGACCCATCCAACCCCTGCACGAGTGACACTCGACCCATCCAACCCCTGCTCGAGTGACACTCGACCCATCCAACCCCTGCTCGAGTGACACTCGACCCATCCAACCCCTGCTCGAGTGACACTCGACCCATCCAACCCCTGCTCGAGTGACACTCGACCCATCCAACCCCTGCACGAGTGACACTCGACCCATCCAACCCCTGCTCGAGTGACACTCGACCCATCCAACCCCTGCTCGAGTGACACTCGACCCATCCAACCCCTGCTCGAGTGACACTCGACCCATCCAACCCCCTGCTCGAGTGACACTCGACCCATCCAACCCCTGCACGAGTGACACTCGACCCATCCAACCCCTGCTCGAGTGACACTCGACCCATCCAACCCCTGCACGAGTGGCACTCGACCCATCCAACCCCTGCACGAGTGGCACTCGACCCATCCAACCCCTGCACGAGTGACACTCGACCCATCCAACCCCTGCACGAGTGACACTCGACCCATCCAACCCCTGCTCGAGTGACACTCGACCCATCCAACCCCTGCTCGAGTGACACTCGACCCATCCAACCCCTGCTCGAGTGACACTCGACCCATCCAACCCCTGCACGAGTGACACTCGACCCATCCAACCCCTGCACGAGTGACACTCGACCCATCCAACCCCCTGCTCGAGTGACACTCGACCCATCCAACCCCTGCTCGAGTGACACTCGACCCATCCAACCCCTGCTCGAGTGACACTCGACCCATCCAACCCCTGCACGAGTGACACTCGACCCATCCAACCCCTGCACGAGTGACACTCGACCCATCCAACCCCTGCACGAGTGACACTCGACCCATCCAACCCCTGCTCGAGTGACACTCGACCCATCCAACCCCTGAACGAGTGGCACTCGACCCATCCAACCCCTGCACGAGTGGCACTCGACCCATCCAACCCCTGCACGAGTGGCACTCGACCCATCCAACCCCTGCTCGAGTGACACTCGACCCATCCAACCCCTGCTCGAGTGACACTCGACCCATCCAACCCCTGCTCGAGTGACACTCGACCCATCCAACCCCTGCACGAGTGACACTCGACCCATCCAACCCCTGCACGAGTGACACTCGACCCATCCAACCCCTGCTCGAGTGACACTCGACCCATCCAACCCCTGCTCGAGTGACACTCGACCCATCCAACCCCTGCTCGAGTGACACTCGACCCATCCAACCCCTGCACGAGTGACACTCGACCCATCCAACCCCTGCACGAGTGACACTCGACCCATCCAACCCCTGCACGAGTGACACTCGACCCATCCAACCCCTGCACGAGTGACACTCGACCCATCCAACCCCTGCTCGAGTGACACTCGACCCATCCAACCCCTGCTCGAGTGACACTCGACCCATCCAACCCCTGCTCGAGTGACACTCGACCCATCCAAGCCCTGCTCGAGTGACACTCGACCCATCCAAGCCCTGCTCGAGTGACACTCGACCCATCCAACCCCTGCACGAGTGACACTCGACCCATCCAACCCCTGCACGAGTGGCACTCGACCCATCCAACCCCTGCTCGAGTGACACTCGACCCATCCAACCCCTGCACGAGTGACACTCGACCCATCCAACCCCTGCTCGAGTGACACTCGACCCATCCAACCCCTCCTCGAGTGACACTCGACCCATCCAACCCCTGCACGAGTGACACTCGACCCATCCAACCCCTGCTCGAGTGACACTCGACCCATCCAACCCCTGCACGAGTGACACTCGACCCATCCAACCCCTGCACGAGTGACACTCGACCCATCCAACCCCTGCTCGAGTGACACTCGACCCATCCAACCCCTGCTCGAGTGACACTCGACCCATCCAAGCCCTGCTCGAGTGACACTCGACCCATCCAACCCCTGCACGAGTGACACTCGACCCATCCAACCCCTGCACGAGTGACACTCGACCCATCCAACCCCTGCTCGAGTGACACTCGACCCATCCAACCCCTGCACGAGTGGCACTCGACCCATCCAACCCCTGCACGAGTGGCACTCGACCCATCCAACCCCTGCACGAGTGGCACTCGACCCATCCAACCCCTGCTCGAGTGACACTCGACCCATCCAACCCCTGCTCGAGTGACACTCGACCCATCCAACCCCTGCACGAGTGACACTCGACCCATCCAACCCCTGCACGAGTGACACTCGACCCATCCAACCCCCTGCTCGAGTGACACTCGACCCATCCAACCCCTGCTCGAGTGACACTCGACCCATCCAACCCCTGCTCGAGTGACACTCGACCCATCCAACCCCTGCACGAGTGACACTCGACCCATCCAACCCCTGCACGAGTGACACTCGACCCATCCAACCCCTGCTCGAGTGACACTCGACCCATCCAACCCCTGCTCGAGTGACACTCGACCCATCCAACCCCTGCTCGAGTGACACTCGACCCATCCAAGCCCTGCTCGAGTGACACTCGACCCATCCAAGCCCTGCTCGAGTGACACTCGACCCATCCAACCCCTGCACGAGTGACACTCGACCCATCCAACCCCTGCACGAGTGACACTCGACCCATCCAACCCCTGCACGAGTGACACTCGACCCATCCAACCCCTGCACGAGTGGCACTCGACCCATCCAACCCCTGCTCGAGTGACACTCGACCCATCCAAGCCCTGCTCGAGTGACACTCGACCCATCCAAGCCCTGCTCGAGTGACACTCGACCCATCCAACCCCTGCACGAGTGACACTCGACCCATCCAACCCCTGCTCGAGTGACACTCGACCCATCCAACCCCTGCACGAGTGACACTCGACCCATCCAACCCCTGCACGAGTGACACTCGACCCATCCAACCCCTGCTCGAGTGACACTCGACCCATCCAACCCCTGCTCGAGTGACACTCGACCCATCCAACCCCTGCTCGAGTGACACTCGACCCATCCAACCCCTGCACGAGTGACACTCGACCCATCCAACCCCTGCACGAGTGACACTCGACCCATCCAACCCCTGCTCGAGTGACACTCGACCCATCCAACCCCTGCACGAGTGACACTCGACCCATCCAACCCCTGCACGAGTGACACTCGACCCATCCAACCCCTGCTCGAGTGACACTCGACCCATCCAACCCCTGCTCGAGTGACACTCGACCCATCCAACCCCTGCTCGAGTGACACTCGACCCATCCAACCCCTGCTCGAGTGACACTCGACCCATCCAACCCCTGCTCGAGTGACACTCGACCCATCCAACCCCTGCACGAGTGACACTCGACCCATCCAACCCCTGCTCGAGTGACACTCGACCCATCCAACCCCTGCACGAGTGACACTCGACCCATCCAACCCCTGCACGAGTGACACTCGACCCATCCAACCCCTGCTCGAGTGACACTCGACCCATCCAACCCCTGCTCGAGTGACACTCGACCCATCCAACCCCTGCACGAGTGGCACTCGACCCATCCAACCCCTGCACGAGTGGCACTCGACCCATCCAACCCCTGCACGAGTGACACTCGACCCATCCAACCCCTGCTCGAGTGACACTCGACCCATCCAACCCCTGCACGAGTGACACTCGACCCATCCAACCCCTGCACGAGTGACACTCGACCCATCCAACCCCTGCTCGAGTGACACTCGACCCATCCAACCCCTGCTCGAGTGACACTCGACCCATCCAACCCCTGCACGAGTGACACTCGACCCATCCAACCCCTGCACGAGTGACACTCGACCCATCCAACCCCTGCTCGAGTGACACTCGACCCATCCAACCCCTGCTCGAGTGACACTCGACCCATCCAAGCCCTGCTCGAGTGACACTCGACCCATCCAACCCCTGCACGAGTGACACTCGACCCATCCAACCCCTGCACGAGTGACACTCGACCCATCCAACCCCTGCTCGAGTGACACTCGACCCATCCAACCCCTGCACGAGTGGCACTCGACCCATCCAACCCCTGCACGAGTGACACTCGACCCATCCAACCCCTGCACGAGTGACACTCGACCCATCCAACCCCTGCTCGAGTGACACTCGACCCATCCAACCCCTGCTCGAGTGACACTCGACCCATCCAACCCCTGCTCGAGTGACACTCGACCCATCCAACCCCTGCACGAGTGACACTCGACCCATCCAACCCCTGCACGAGTGACACTCGACCCATCCAACCCCTGCTCGAGTGACACTCGACCCATCCAACCCCTGCTCGAGTGACACTCGACCCATCCAACCCCTGCTCGAGTGACACTCGACCCATCCAACCCCTGCTCGAGTGACACTCGACCCATCCAAGCCCTGCTCGAGTGACACTCGACCCATCCAACCCCTGCACGAGTGACACTCGACCCATCCAACCCCTGCACGAGTGACACTCGACCCATCCAACCCCTGCTCGAGTGACACTCGACCCATCCAACCCCTGCTCGAGTGGCACTCGACCCATCCAACCCCTGCACGAGTGGCACTCGACCCATCCAACCCCTGCACGAGTGGCACTCGACCCATCCAACCCCTGCTCGAGTGACACTCGACCCATCCAACCCCTGCTCGAGTGACACTCGACCCATCCAACCCCTGCTCGAGTGACACTCGACCCATCCAACCCCTGCTCGAGTGACACTCGACCCATCCAACCCCTGCTCGAGTGACACTCGACCCATCCAACCCCTGCTCGAGTGACACTCGACCCATCCAACCCCTGCTCGAGTGACACTCGACCCATCCAACCCCTGCACGAGTGGCACTCGACCCATCCAACCCCTGCACGAGTGGCACTCGACCCATCCAACCCCTGCACGATTGGCACTCGACCCATCCAACCCCTGCTCGAGTGGCACTCGACCCATCCAACCCCTGCACGAGTGGCACTCGACCCATCCAACCCCTGCACGAGTGGCACTCGACCCATCCAACCCCTGCACGAGTGGCACTCGACCCATCCAACCCCTGCACGAGTGACACTCGACCCATCCAACCCCTGCACGAGTGGCACTCGACCCATCCAACCCCTGCACAAGTGGCACTCGACCCATCCAACCCCTGCACGAGTGGCACTCGACCCATCCAACCCCTGCACGAGTGGCACTCGACCCATCCAACCCCTGCTCGAGTGACACTCGACCCATCCAACCCCTGCTCGAGTGACACTCGACCCATCCAACCCCTGCTCGAGTGACACTCGACCCATCCAACCCCTGCACGAGTGACACTCGACCCATCCAACCCCTGCACGAGTGACACTCGACCCATCCAACCCCTGCTCGAGTGACACTCGACCCATCCAACCCCTGCACGAGTGACACTCGACCCATCCAACCCCTGCTCGAGTGACACTCGACCCATCCAACCCCTGCTCGAGTGACACTCGACCCATCCAACCCCTGCTCGAGTGACACTCGACCCATCCAACCCCTGCTCGAGTGACACTCGACCCATCCAACCCCTGCTCGAGTGACACTCGACCCATCCAACCCCTGCACGAGTGACACTCGACCCATCCAACCCCTGCTCGAGTGACACTCGACCCATCCAACCCCTGCTCGAGTGACACTCGACCCATCCAACCCCTGCTCGAGTGACACTCGACCCATCCAACCCCTGCTCGAGTGACACTCGACCCATCCAACCCCTGCTCGAGTGACACTCGACCCATCCAACCCCTGCTCGAGTGACACTCGACCCATCCAACCCCTGCTCGAGTGACACTCGACCCATCCAACCCCTGCTCGAGTGACACTCCACCCATCCAACCCCTGCTCGAGTGACACTCGACCCATCCAACCCCTGCTCGAGTGACACTCGACCCATCCAACCCCTGCACGAGTGACACTCGACCCATCCAACCCCTGCACGAGTGACACTCGACCCATCCAACCCCTGCTCGAGTGACACTCGACCCATCCAACCCCTGCACGAGTGACACTCGACCCATCCAACCCCTGCACGAGTGGCACTCGACCCATCCAACCCCTGCACGAGTGGCACTCGACCCATCCAACCCCTGCACGAGTGGCACTCGACCCATCCAACCCCTGCACGAGTGGCACTCGACCCATCCAACCCCTGCACGAGTGACACTCGACCCATCCAACCCCTGCTCGAGTGACACTCGACCCATCCAACCCCTGCACGAGTGACACTCGACCCATCCAACCCCTGCACGAGTGACGCTCGACCCATCCAACCCCTGCACGAGTGACGCTCGACCCATCCAAACCCCTGCTCGAGTGACACTCGACCCATCCAACCCCTGCTCGAGTGACACTCGACCCATCCAACCCCTGCTCGAGTGACACTCGACCCATCCAACCCCTGCTCGAGTGACACTCGACCCATCCAACCCCTGCACGAGTGACACTCGACCCATCCAACCCCTGCTCGAGTGACACTCGACCCATCCAACCCCTGCTCGAGTGACACTCGACCCATCCAACCCCTGCTCGAGTGACACTCGACCCATCCAACCCCTGCTCGAGTGACACTCGACCCATCCAACCCCTGCTCGAGTGACACTCGACCCATCCAACCCCTGCTCGAGTGACACTCGACCCATCCAACCCCTGCTCGAGTGACACTCGACCCATCCAACCCCTGCTCGAGTGACACTCGACCCATCCAACCCCTGCTCGTGTGACACTCGACCCATCCAACCCCTGCTCGAGTGACACTCGACCCATCCAACCCCTGCTCGTGTGACACTCGACCCATCCAACCCCTGCTCGAGTGACACTCGACCCATCCAACCCCTGCTCGAGTGACACTCGACCCATCCAACCCCTGCACGAGTGGCACTCGACCCATCCAACCCCTGCACGAGTGGCACTCGACCCATCCAACCCCTGCACGAGTGGCACTCGACCCATCCAACCCCTGCACGAGTGGCACTCGACCCATCCAACCCCCGCACGAGTGGCACTCGACCCATCCAACCCCTGCACGAGTGACACTCGACCCATCCAACCCCTGCACGAGTGGCACTCGACCCATCCAACCCCTGCACGAGTGGCACTCGACCCATCCAACCCCTGCACGAGTGGCACTCGACCCATCCAACCCCTGCACAAGTGGCACTCGACCCATCCAACCCCTGCACGAGTGACACTCGACCCATCCAACCCCTGCACGAGTGGCACTCGACCCATCCAACCCCTGCACGAGTGGCACTCGACCCATCCAACCCCTGCAGGAGTGGCACTCGACCCATCCAACCCCTGCACGAGTGACACTCGACCCATCCAACCCCTGCACGAGTGGCACTCGACCCATCCAACCCCTGCACGAGTGACACTCGACCCATCCAACCCCTGCACGAGTGGCACTCGACCCATCCAACCCCTGCACGAGTGGCACTCGACCCATCCAACCCCTGCACGAGTGGCACTCGACCCATCCAACCCCTGCACTAGTGACACTCGACCCATCCAACCCCTGCACGAGTGGCACTCGACCCATCCAACCCCTGCACGAGTGGCACTCGACCCATCCAACCCCTGCACGAGTGACACTCGACCCATCCAACCCCTGCTCGAGTGACACTCGACCCATCCAACCCCTGCACGAGTGACACTCGACCCATCCAACCCCTGCACGAGTGACGCTCGACCCATCCAACCCCTGCACGAGTGACGCTCGACCCATCCAACCCCTGCTCGAGTGACACTCGACCCATCCAACCCCTGCTCGAGTGACACTCGACCCATCCAACCCCTGCTCGAGTGACACTCGACCCATCCAACCCCTGCTCGAGTGACACTCGACCCATCCAACCCCTGCACGAGTGACACTCGACCCATCCAACCCCTGCTCGAGTGACACTCGACCCATCCAACCCCTGCTCGAGTGACACTCGACCCATCCAACCCCTGCTCGAGTGACACTCGACCCATCCAACCCCTGCTCGAGTGACACTCGACCCATCCAACCCCTGCTCGAGTGACACTCGACCCATCCAACCCCTGCTCGAGTGACACTCGACCCATCCAACCCCTGCTCGAGTGACACTCGACCCATCCAACCCCTGCTCGAGTGACACTCGACCCATCCAACCCCTGCTCGAGTGACACTCGACCCATCCAACCCCTGCTCGAGTGACACTCGACCCATCCAACCCCTGCTCGAGTGACACTCGACCCATCCAACCCCTGCTCGAGTGACACTCGACCCATCCAACCCCTGCTCGTGTGACACTCGACCCATCCAACCCCTGCTCGAGTGACACTCGACCCATCCAACCCCTGCTCGTGTGACACTCGACCCATCCAACCCCTGCTCGAGTGACACTCGACCCATCCAACCCCTGCTCGAGTGACACTCGACCCATCCAACCCCTGCTCGAGTGACACTCGACCCATCCAACCCCTGCACGAGTGGCACTCGACCCATCCAACCCCTGCACGAGTGGCACTCGACCCATCCAACCCCTGCACGAGTGGCACTCGACCCATCCAACCCCTGCACGAGTGGCACTCGACCCATCCAACCCCCGCACGAGTGGCACTCGACCCATCCAACCCCTGCACGAGTGACACTCGACCCATCCAACCCCTGCACGAGTGGCACTCGACCCATCCAACCCCTGCACGAGTGGCACTCGACCCATCCAACCCCTGCACGAGTGGCACTCGACCCATCCAACCCCTGCACGAGTGACACTCGACCCATCCAACCCCTGCACGAGTGGCACTCGACGCATCCAACCCCTGCACGAGTGGCACTCGACCCATCCAACCCCTGCACGAGTGGCACTCGACCCATCCAACCCCTGCACGAGTGGCACTCGACCCATCCAACCCCTGCACCCGATGCTCAATGCTCTCTGCTGCCTGTGCCGCTCACCCACCACTCCACTTCTCAATTCTGTGCTCCCGCATGCTCCCCATCTGTACAGCTTTCCACATCCCTCTTCAGTTTACTCAAGATTTTCAAGCTCCCATCTCTGCCCTTCCTCACCCAGATCTATCCCCCTCTACTCACCATCCCCTTCCCCCCCCCCCCCCCCCCCTCGCCCCCCCCCTTCCTCCTTCCTACCCCGTCTCTCCTCTCTCCCTCCCTCCCACCTCTCTTTGCTCCCCACCCTCCCTTCTCCAGATCTAGAACCCCCCATTCCTCGCCCCGCCACTTCAATTCGGGCAGCGCAAAGAATGATCGCGGGGGCACTTGCAGCGACCAATCAGAATGCAGCCCTGGCAATCCGGGCAGCAGCAGCAGCGGCAGCAGCAGCAGGAGGAGTGGCCGGGCAGGTTGGAGAGAAGAGGATGGAGGCTGAGAGGAGGATGAGACTGGAGGAGCGGAGGCGACTCAAGGACGAGGCATGGGGGGATGACTGAAAGGTGGTGGGGACTCTTGAGTGTGGTTGGGTCTGGTTCCTCTTTCCAATGCTCGAGAGAGAACATTGATTGAAGAGAAGCGGGTGGCTGAATGCAGCAGCGGCAGCAGCAGCAACAGTAGCAGCAGCAGCAGCAGCAGCAACAGCCAAGAAGGCGATTTGTATTGTGATGTGGTTGGATCCTGCTCAGGCCGTGTGTGTTTCACGGCAAGTATCGGATTGTTGGCTGGTCGACTGAACTGCACTACAACGCACCGCACCCCACAGGACTGCACCTGACTGTACCGCACAGCGCCAAGTGTGGCGCGGCCTCTTTTGATGCACCTGGAATAGACTTGGTTGTGGTGTGTGAGAGAAAGGAGCATGGTGCTGCATTGGCTTGGCTGATGGGGGGAAAGACAAGACTGCAGGGCGAGAAAGGGAAACGAGAATGGGGGTAGAGAGGAGAGAAGGATTGAGATTAGGAGACAAGAAGATTGAGGAGCAGAGGAGAGAAGAGGAGTGGAGTGGAGCAGGCTTTGGCTTGGCATGGCATGGCATCTTACCAAAGACTTGCCTACAGTTTCGAGCACATTCACCGTTTGCAGGTGGAGGTGGAAATTTGCTAGTGTTTAAGTAGAGCTAACGCTGTGGTTCTCCTGGTAGGTACATTCAGATGCACGACTGTAGGTGGTCATGGCATTTGGGTAACGAAACACCTGCTGGCTTAGAGCCTGGCAGACCTGCATTGGTAATATTAATATAACATCACGCAAGCTGTATGGCATGGCATGGCATGAGCGAAATTTCTACCTAATGTCTGCACTCCGTTTCACTACCACATTCCCTTTTGCTTTACCATAGAGCTCTCACAAGCTACCGTACCTAAGATATTGCTATACCGGTAAGAACTCTCAACCGAACAATTCTAATCATGTCAAGAAACCTTGCAGCACCCTGCCCTCCACAGTTTTTCCACACTGACGCTGCTGCGACTAGTGTAGCGAATGTGAATCCACAAGACCAGGTCATGACAACAGGGGGTCAAGGCTTGAACCTGAACGCGTGGTGTTGTTTGTGAGGAATCGAGACGTCTCAAATGGGTGGTGGTTGGAGGGAGCCACCACGAGTCACTGTGAAAACGTGAAAGCTGTGGGTGGGTTGGTTTGTTTTGAGACGACACAAGACGACCGGCACGGTGATGATGATGATGAAGCATCAGGAGGAGGACGATCCAAAGTAGGCTTCGAGGGATGGCACTGTTACCACATTGGCTGCCACTGCCTCCATGGCTTTTGAATCGACTCAACAAAGCTGACCCAAGAGGGCGCGATGAGATGCAGCATCAGGAGGAGGGCGATCCAAAGTAGGCTTCAAGGGATGGCACTGATACCACATTGGCTGCCACTGCCCCCGTGGCCGCTGGTGTGATGTGCAGAATGTACTTCACAAACCGCTGGTGGGTGAGGGGGGGGTGAGAAGGGGATGCGGGTGGGGGAGGGGGGGAAGGGGAGAGGGGTTTTGATCCAGCTCAAAAGGTTGGTTGCTTCTGCCCCCGTGGCTGCTGGCGTGATGTGCAGAATGTACTTCACAAACCGCTGGTGGGGGTGAGGTGGGGGGGGGGGGGGGGGGGGAGGGGGGAGAAAGGGGATAGGATGAAGAGAAAGAAGAAAGGGCTTCAGTACACCTCCAAAGGTGGCTGCTGGCGTGATGTGCAGAATGTACTTCACAAACCGCTGGTGGGGGGTGGTTGGTGGGGGGGGGGGGGGGGAGGGGGAGGGGAAGGGGGGAGAAAGGAAACTGGTGGAAAGGAAACGGGAGACATGGGTTTTGAGGCGCCTGAAACAATTTGATGTCAAATGCCTCAACGTGCCAATCGGGCTCCTCCTAGCTTGCTCAATGCCATTCACAACAGGGAACACTCACATTGCCTGTGCTGCACCCTCTCCCCCCCATGACTCACCCTCAGCTGCTCCACCATGCTGTCAAACGCCTCAAAGTGCCAGTCTGGTTCCAGCTGCCTTGCTTGCTCCCAACACACAGGACGCTCACCGTACCTGTATTGCACCCTTCCCCATCCTCCCCTCCCCTCCCCATGACTCACCCGCAGCTGCTCCATCGTGCTGTCAAACGCCTCAAAGTGCCAGTCCGGCCCCAGCAAGCTTGCTCCCAAGCCACACGAACCGCTCACCCTGCCTGTGCCGTACCCTCTCGCCCCCATGACTCACGCGCAGCTGCGCCCTCCCCCCCCTCCCATGACTCACCCTCAGCTGCTCCACCGTGCTGTCAAACGCCTCAAAGTGCCAGTCCGGCCCCAGCTGCCTTGCTTGCTCCCAACACACAGGACGCTCACCGTACCTGTATTGCACCCTTCCCCATCCTCCCCTCCCCTCCCCATGACTCACCCGCAGCTGCTCCACCGTGCTGTCAAACGCCTCAAAGTGCCAGTCCGGCTCAAGCTGCCTCACGAATGACGCTACTCCAACGTCCTTCTCACAGAACAGCACCTGGTGACGCGCAGTGGGAGTGAGGTTGGGTTGGGAGGGGTTTTGTGGGGTTGGGTTGACATGGAAGAGGGAGAGGTCGTTTAAAGCATTTCAGAACCAGCTGCCACACAAAAGACGCTACTCCATTGTCCTTCTAACAGAACAGCTCCTGGTGCCGTGCTGTGGGGAAGCATAAGGTTCGGATGGGTCGAGGTAGGTTGATAAAGGGGTGAGGTAAGCTTGGACATATCACAACCAGCTGCCTGCAGAAACGATGGGTGCCTGCAGTAACGATGCAATGGCGATGTTCTTCTCACAAAACAGCACCTGTTGGCGCCATGCAGTAGGAAACAGTGATAATGTGTTGGTTCGGTTCGGGCTCGGTGCGGTTGAGTTAAGTTCGGTTGTGCTGAAAGAGACAGAGAGAGAGAGGGCCAGAGGGACTAAGGGTATCTTGAATCAGACTGCATGTCTGTACCCTGCTGAATCAATACAACGGACCGTTTGAGAGAGAGGTGTATTGAAGAGCCTCAACACCAGCTGCTGCGCAGACGATAGCGAAGCAGTTGAAATTTAAGAAAACTGTAGCTACCGGGTAGCTTATTAAGTAGATATGCCGCATCCCATCCCATCCCATCCCATCCCATCCCATCCCCATCCCACCCCACCCCACCCCACCCCACCCCACCCCACCCCACCCCACCCCACCCCACCCCACCCCACCCCACCCCACCCCACCCCACCCCACCCCATCCCACCCCACCCCACCCCACCCCACCCCACCCCACCCCACCCCACCCCACCCCACCCCACCCCACCCCATCCCACCCCACCCCACCCCACCCCACCCCATCCCACCCCATCCCATCCCATCCCATCCCATCCCATCCCATCCCATCCCATCCCATCCCATCCCATCCCATCCCATCCCTTCCCATCCCATCCCACCCCTTCCCATCCATCCCACCCCACCCCATCCCACCCCACCCCACCCCACCCCACCCCACCCCACCCCGTCCCGTCCCATCCCATCCCATCCCATCCCATCCCATCCCATCCCATCCCATCCCATCCCATCCCATCCCATCCCATCCCATCCCAACCCAGCCCACCCCACCCCACCCCACCCCACCCCACCCCAGCCCAGCCCAGCCCAGCCCATCCCATCCCATCCCATCCCATCCCATCCCATCCCACCCCACCCCACCCCACCCCACCCCACCCCACCCCACCCCACCCCACCCCACCCCATCCCATCCCATCCCATCCCATCCCATACCATCCCATCCCATCCCATCCCATCCCATCCCATCCCATCCCATCCCATCCCATCCCATCCCAGCCATTCATGAGGCAAGCCCCTTGTTGCTGTTGTCTGTACCTTGTCTCGGTTGATCGGCCCTGGCGAGCCGTCAGGCAGGGAGAAGAGACAGGCCTCCTCTAGTGCTGACAGGATGGTGGCCTGCATTGGGGGGGGAGGAGGAGGAGGTGGAGGGGAATGTGGAGGGGAGGGAGGAAGGGGATGGGAAAAGGGAAGAGGAAGTGGAAGGCGGAACGGGATGGGGAGGGGGAGGGAGAAGAGACTGGCCTCCTCTAGTGCTGCCAGGATGGTGGCCTGTATGGGGGGGGGGAGGGGGATGGGTAGAGGAAGGGGGGTGGGAAGGGGAAGAGGGAGGGGGATTGGGAGAAGGGTCGTGTCAAAGGGGAAGCCGTGTGGCAGGGAGAAGAGATTGGCTTCCTCTAATGCTGACAGGATGGTGGCCTGCATGGGGGGAGGGAGGAGGGAAGGGAGAAGAAGGAGAAAAAGTAAGGGGGATGGGAGGGAAGGGAAACAGGGAGCCGTGTGGCAGGGAGAAGAGATTGGCCTCCTCTAATGCTAACAGGATGGTGGCCTGCATGAGTTAGGGAAGAGGGAGGGGGAAGAGGAGGGGAAGGGGGAGGGAAGGAGAAGGGGGATGGGGAGGGGAAGGGGGAGGGGGATGGGGAAGGGGAAGGGGGAGGGGGATGGGGAAGGGGAAGGGGGAGGGGGGAGGGGAAGGGGGAGGGGGATGGGGAAGGGGAAGGGGGAGGGGGATGGGGAAGACGAAGGCAGTAAGAGGGCAAGCAAGCAAGCAAAGCAAGCCAGCAAGGCAAGCCAGCAAGGCAAGCCAGCAAGGCAAGCCAGCAAGGCAAGCCAGCAAGGCAAGCCAGCAAGGCAAGCACAACGTACGTACGTTGCTCTCGTCGCTGTGCACTTGTGCCATGAGGTACACATCGGCCTGCCCGATGGGTGGACCAGAGGCGGCCTTGGAGCAGACAGGCAGGTAAGGCAGCAAGCAAGGCAGAGTGAACGCACCACGCTCTCGTCGCTGTGTACTTGTGCCATGAGATTCACGTCTGCCTGCCCGATGGGTGGGATCAGAGGAAGGCGGCCTTGGAGCAGACAGGCAGGTAAGGCAGCAAGCAAAACAGAGACAACGCACCTCGCTCTCGTCACTGTGCACTTGTGCCATGAGGTACACATCGGCCTGCCTCGCCACCTCGCGCACTATCTCCGCTGCCCCACTCCGCAACGATGCTCCGGACTGATGAGCGCGAGAGAGGAACAGAAGAGCGCGAGAGGGGAGAGGGAGAGAGGAGGGGACGAGGGGAGGGCGAGAGAAGAGAGTGAGCGGAGGGGGGGAGAGGAGGGGAAGAGGGGAGGGCGAATGTAGAGGGTGAGACGGGAGGGGGAGAGAGGAGGGGAAGAGGGGAGGGCGAGAGAGAAAGGCGGCCGTGAGGAGTTATGGGAAATGAGTGGACTGTGGGTTGTGACGGTTGAGGTGGTGAGAGCGGGGCGGGACAGACAAGTCGCGTGGAGAAATTTGATTGAAATGTCCTGACATTTCACGAAGAAAGGTAGAAGGAGTCCCGGGAGAAACGTAGAGAGTAAAGACACACGAAGAGTGTAGAGAATCCCATGGGGAAATGGGGAGGCGAGAGGGGAAGGTGAGAGGGGAAGGCGAGAGGGGAGAGGAAAGGGGAAAGACGAAAAGGGGGGGGTGGGGGGGCGAGAGGAGGGCAGATGTTGGGGGTGGTGGGAGATGAGTAGACCACGGGTAGTAGTGATGGGTGGAGGGTAGGACGAGGGGGGCAGCGAAAGGAGAGGGGAGCGGGGGGGGGGGGGGAAGGTGGGGTGTGGTGCGAGGGGCAAAGGACCACGTGGTAATGCGCGTGTGTGTGTGTGTGCGTGTGTGTGTGCGTGTGTGTGTGCGTGTGTGTGTGCGTGTGTGTGTGCGTGTGTGTGTGTGCGCGCATGTGTGTGTGTGCATGTGTGGACGCAAATGCATTACTTGCAGCTCTTCTGGTGATGATTGGTTTAGCACCACTCCGAGCATCTGAATCGTGACCTGCAGAGACGATAGGCACGGGAGGAGAGGGGGGGAGTGGGGGCGAGGGAAGAGGGGACGGGTTGCGTGCGTGTGTGTGTTAAGTCAGAATGAGAAAGAAACGAGACCAGGGAAGAGAGGCACGGGAGGAAAGGTGGGTGGGGAAGTCGGGGAGAGGAAAGTGAGGGAGAAGGAGGAGGGAAGGGGTTGCGTGCGTGTGTGTCAGAGAGAGAGAGAGAGAAACAAGACCACGCCTAGCATCTGAATCGTGATTTGCAGGGACAAGAGGCACGGGGAGGGGGGGTGGGAGTGGGGGAGGAGGTGACTGGGACGAGGTCAGGGGCGAGTGTGTGTGTCAAAGAGAGAGGAAGAGAGACAAGATTGCAGGAGGGACGGACGGGAAGAGTGGGGGGCGCGTGTGTCCAAGAGAGAAACGAGATTGAAAATGCCATAGAATGCTACTCATGCGGATGTCCATGGAGAGATGCAACGGAGAAGGAAGAAAGGAGATGGGGGTATGGCGGGGGGGAGTGGGAGAGGAAGAGGGAGAGGAAGGGGGAAAGGGTATGGAAAGGGTATTGATTGTACATGCTTCCACATGTACAAACAATCAATCAACGTGACCCTCAACCATCTCTCGCATGCCAATCTTCCCGTTCGCCCTCCCACCATCCCCCCATCCCCCCACCCCCCCACCCCCTCTCGCCAATTCCCCCCGCGCCACCTCCTTTCCCCCTTCCCCCCCCACCCCCCTGCACTCACTCTCTTGCTGCCATTGAGCTGCTGCCGCACTGTGAGCGCCAGACAACCCCCGCCACAACAACACCCATTCTCTCCCCCCCATTCTCACCCTCCCTCTCCCCCCCCCCTCCCCCTAGCCCTTCCCCCCTTGCCCCCCAGCCCCCCGCACTCACTCTCTTGCTGCCATTGAGCTGCTGCCGCACTGTGAGCGCCAGACGCGACTGCGCAAGGAGAGAGGCGCAGGGGGGCGCGGTGAGCGACAGGGAGGGGGAGGGAAGGCGGAGGGGGGATGGGAGGGGGAGTGGAAGGGGAAGTGAAGGGGAGGATGATTGGAAGAGGGAGGGATGGAATGCAGATAGGGCTTTATACTCAACAGGTGCGGCCAAGAATCAACAGCACCCATGCAACGACTACACCAGCTACAGGCCACAGCTCAGGCTCGGACCGAACCCACAAACAAGGCTAGGGCCGAACCTGGGGCATGTCTTCTTGCCGAACCAGGTCTTTTCTCAAGCCACCTCTCGTTCCTCCATTTCCTTCTGCCTCCGCATATGCTCCCCCTCCCGCGGATCTCCCCGCGCCTCTTTGCTGCGCCTGGCTGATCCCCGCGGACGCGCCAGTCGCGCGCGCAACCTCCCCCGCCCCGCGACCGCCCGCGCCTGCTGTTCCGGAGGGCCCCGCCTCGTCGCGCTTCCGCGCGGCGGCGGCGGACGGCGGAGGCGGCGAGCGCGCGTGTGGAGGGCGCGCGGAGCGGGGGGGCCGCGGACGGGAGAAGCGCCAGGCGATTAGTATGGCGAGCGCGAACCCCGCAACTGCGCCCATCGTCGTTGCGCGCTGAAGGATGCGCGGAGAAAGTAGGCGGTGTGAGGAAGAAAAGGGGATCGGGGGAGAGGGGGAGAAAGGGGGAGGGAGGAGGGCAAGGGGGGGAGATGGGAGACAAGGGGAAGGAGGGCAGGGGGTGGGGGAAGAGAACGGGAGGGGGTGGATGGAAGTAGAGGGGTGTCCAGTGTGGGATGGAGAAGAAGAGGGGGGGGAGGGGGGGGTGGGTTGGGGGAGGGGGGAGAGGGATCAGGAGGGGGCTAGGAGGGATTGGGAGAGGGGGAGGAGGGGATGTTGTTCCGTTCCATTTGGGATACGAAAAGGGAACAGGAGATTAAGTAGGTATAAGACGATGAGTAAGAATAAAGATGAGCAGGCATTGGAGGGGAGTGGAGGGATCAGGTCGCACGAGCAGGGTGTGGGAGTAAAGAGTTCGAACGTGGAGAGCGACGACGGACGAGGGAGTGGGGGGGAGGGTGGAGGGGGAGGAGAAGGAGGAGGAGGACGGAAAGACCGCGACGAAAGAGGAAGCGAGAGGCAGCGCTGGTGACGCTTGCTCACCCACTGGGGAAACAGACAGGGCCAACCCTTCTCAACCCCTCACCCACTCATCCCATCACCCCCTCACCCACTCACTTCTTCAATCACTACCAGCTAGGACATGTCAGGTCAGGCCCGACTAGCCCCATGCAACCTAGATTCGACACCGCGTGGCCTGAAAAGCTTCCTAGTAGGGAGCCTTACGGTTAGACAGTCTATAGGGCAGCGTAGAGGGTCTAGATCCGACGGATAGAAAGCGCATCCGACGGATAGAAAGCGCATCCGACGGATGGACGGAAGAAGAATGCCCTTCGCCGATTGGATTATGAGTGTAGATTTAGTCGCCGACTCGAATCGCACCTGGAGACCTAGTGGTCGGTACGCGCTATAAGATTGTCGCACTTACATCGAGTGCGCGAATGGCTTGCACGACGTGTAACAGCCTCGGCGAAAGCGAAGAACCTAGGCGCTGTAACCACGCCATCAGCGCGTCGATCGGCGACGATCCCATGGCTCTGCTAGCGGCGCGAGGACGAGAAGGAGGAGGAAAAGGAGGCGGCGCGGATCGCAGACGAGGTGAAGAAGTCAACTGCGAACCGCGAAATGACGGAGGAGGCGGACGGCAGGACGGCAGGACGGCAGGGGCTGGGGAGAAAAGGCAATGTCGCGAAGGAATGAGTGGACGTTGCTTCGTTCGAGAATGAAGCTTCGGCGATCGGGAATTCGCCCGGTTTTGTAAGAGACGTTCGCGTGTAACGTTTCGAGCACGAGACAGTCCAGACGAAGTGAAAACGAAGCTGGTCAGCCCGGAAGCAAGCGGTTAGGTACGGTGAAGGACGCGGACGAGGAAAGGACGGCGAGCAAGTGGATCGAATATTTTTTCGACCTTTCACACCCCAGTTACCCAACCATACTCGCCGTTAATCGCCGATCCATGAGCATCATAGGCGGAAGTTATGCTTTCAGGAGTGCTATGAACGAGGCTCGCAACGCTAAGTCATGGGTGATGTATTCTGTGAGGAGTAACATCCGTGATAGGGAGAACAAGGACGACCAAAAAGATCACAGGAAACGATCTAAACCGAACTGAAAGCAGGAAGTTTCCGAATCCACTTGGCAAGGCAACTGCCTCTTCGTGAGTACGACAGTGGTGTATGACGGTTGAGTACGATCAGATCAAAAGTATTTAACCGCATTGAACTGCTTTTCACATTTTTTTTAAATGTTTAATACATTAAAGGGCCAATGTATACAAACAATAGCAGTCTTAACTGAGCATGAGGGCAGGCGCCATGCACTGCCCATACAGACAAACTAGGGTGGCGTGAAAACCCTCCTTGGCCTGTTCCAAATCGCATCAAAGCCAGCCGACCACCCCCACTTTTTGTCGCCAGCTTCCTGGATCCGCATTATCATTTTCTGCTCCGCTTCGAAAACCCCCCTGACCTTTTTGTGCTTCCCCGACGTGCTTTGCTTCAAACACTTTTCCCCTGTTGACCTCGTATAAACTATTGCATGCAGCCGAATGTTAAGATAGCAAGCAGAAGTTAGAACAGAGAAGAGGGTTTCGCTAGTAAGCAATGAGATACATATAGCAAACCCTAGTTGGGTTGTACTCACCTTAGAGTACCCCACTGCAGACTAGACAAATATTACATTCTGACGCACCCCCATAGTCAAAGTGGGGTATAATCAGCACAGCAAGCAGTCATTCTAATAAGTTCAGAAGCACAAGCAAAGCTAGAGGCAGCCATAGAGGGCAAGTGAGGAGGAGGAGGGACTGTGAGAGGAGTGAAGATAGGAGGCGACGGGTGAAGCCGCAGACACACGGGCAACAGGAGCGGCGCGCACGGTGGCTACCGGACACAAGCAAGGGTATCCGGACTACTGGAGTAACTGGCTCCGCGGCTAAGACGAGCGGTAGGAGCAACGGACCCACGGGCGACCGACGTCAGCAGGCTCGTTGGGCTACCGGAGAAAGGGTGACCCCCGGACTACTGGCGCTGCTGACATCACGACGGCTACCTCCGCTCAACCTCCCCCAACTGTCCCACACCCCTTTCCCACACCCCTTGTTGCACCCCTAGCTCCACTCCCACGACACCCCCCTAGCACCATTCCCTCGGCTCCCACACACCCACCCCCCTCAGCGGCAGCTGTAGCAGTGGGAGACGGAGGAGGAGGAGGAGCATGGGACGGCTCACACACCCGCCACCCCCAGACCCGCCACCCCCATACCCTCCCCCACGGCTGCACGCGCAGCAGAGAGAAGACTGGGAAGGAGGGGGGGGGGGGGGGGGGGGTGGGGAAGAAGCCGCCCCGCAGCTGCAATGGGGCGGCGCGCGGGTCGACGAGGGGGGGCGACGCGCGGCTCGACGGGGGGGGCACGTGGGTCCCCTGGGGCGGCGCGACGACCGACGGGGGGGACGCGCGGGTCCCCTGTGTCAAACATATACATATGCTATAGTTTTGGGTAGGCTGTAGTGGGGTAGATACTGTGGGGTACAACCCCTTAGGTTTCTTCCTTGTACCAAAAAAATCACTCGACAGTCTACATCACCACCTAGCTTCTCAGATGGTATCTAGAGCAGTAGGTCTTTAGGACCTAAAATTAGGGCCCACCGGTTACCGTGTTACCTCACATACTGCCCTGCCTTGCCTGCTGCCAGTGCGCGCCCCAGCTGCACGCGCACGTATCTTTTTTTTTTAGCGCGCGCTACTGCTGCAGCCGCGCGCCGCGCCCGCAGCCTGCACCGAGCCCGCGTCGCCCGCGCACCACTCGCGCAGCCCGCAACGAGCCCGCGCAGCCCGCCGCCGCGCGCTGCCCGCTTAGGCCCCGCGCGCCGCATCCGTCGCCAGCGCGGCCCGCTGCTGCCCCGCACGCCGCTGTAGGAGCCCGCGCGCGGCCCGCTGCTGCCCCGCGAGCTGCCTTAGGAGCCCGCGCGCGGCCCGTTGCTGCAGCCTAAGCGCGGCCTGCTACTGCCCCGCGCGCTGCCTGAACTGCCTTTGCCTGCAGCCTACTGCCTGCTGCCTGCTGCCTTTGCCTTTGCCTACTGCCTGCTGCCTACTGCCTTTGCCTTTGCCTGCTGCCTACTGACTACTGCCTGCTGCCTTTGCCTTTGCCTGCTGCCTGCTGCCTACTGCCTTTGCCTACTGGCTTTACCTGCACTGCGATGTGGCAACGCTTAATGTTCTCGCGTTTGAGCCTGACGGTCGCCCGATCGAGTTCTCCAACTGTTCCTTCTGACCGATGCCAAAGATGGCGTTTCACTGTTCGATTACGTGTCTGGCACTGCCGTTGCTCCTGCTGACGATGCTACTGCTCTCGAACGCTCACACTGGCAGACTCGCGATGCTGCTGCACGCCTAGCTATTAGGAACCATCTGCCGATCACTGCGCGCGCGCATTTCAGCCAGCACAAAACTGCTAAGGCACTGTACGACGCTGTAGTTGCGCGCTACTCCTCCCCGGCCACTGCAGCCCTAGGTCGGCTCATGCTACCCTACCTGTTCCCCGACCTGTCCTCGTTTACCACTGCTGAGGACCTCATTTCTCACCTTCGCACTAGTGACACTCGCTTTCGTGCCGCCCTTCCAGCCGAGTTCTGCGCCGCAAACCCCCCCCCCCCCCCCCCCCCCCGATGTACTTCACTCTCTATTTCCTCGTCACCCGCCTCCCTGACACTCTTAGCTCCGTCAGGGACCACTTCCTAGCCCTAGACCCTACCACTCTCACTGTCGCCGACTTCGAGAAGCACCTCCTAGCAGCAGAGAAGAACATCCTCGCTGTAGGTGCTGCTCGTGGTACTCCTCGCTCTCCCCTCTTTGAGGGGTGCTCCCCCTCCCCTCTTACCCCCTCCTACGCCTCCGCAGCTACTGCTGTCGACCTCGTTGGTGCTGAGAAGGTCGCAGCTGCTTCTGCTCCTAGTGGGAAGCGCAGCGGCTCCAGGGGAGGCAAGGGTGGCAGGGGTGGCGGACGTGGCAGTGGAGGGGGCGGTGGTGGAGGCGGCGGGGGAGGTGGAGGTGGTGGGGGTGGTCGTGGGGGTGGATGTGGTGGTGGGGGCGGTGGTGGTACCAGGAGCAGTGGCGGTGGCGGCGGCGGTGGTGGCGGAGGGGGGAGTGGTGGTGGCAGCGGTGGTGGGGGCTTGGGTGACACCAGTGGTGGCCAAGGGCAGCAGCAGCAGCAGCCGCAGCAGCGTCAGCGCCAGACCCCCACTTCCCAGCAGCTTCTTGACTGGTATGCCGGGCGTGGGGCGTCTAGGGGTCCTGGTCGCTGCCCCTATATCATTCGCACAGGTCCCCGCGCTGGTCGCCAGTGCACAGGGTTTCACACTGAGTACCGCAGCTTCACTCGGCTTAGCGACGCCTGGCGCGTCAAGTTTCCTGATGCTACTGAGTTCCCCAACTGGGCAGACCTGCTTAGGCGTGATGTACCTATCTTTGATCTTGACTATGAGGCTATTCTTGCTGCCATGTATGCATAGACTGTTAGTGCTGAGGGTGACTGCTACTTGTGTGTGCCGCCTGACCCCGGTATAGCCCCAGGTATAGCGCCTGTGGCACAAGGTGCTTGTGAGTCTGCTCCCCCTGGTACTGCGTCCGCACAGGCCTTGAACACCTTCACACTTGACTCTGGTGCTTCCCGCTGTTTCTTTCGCGACAGCACCACAGTCACTCCCCTCCCTGCACCTGTTCTTGTCTCACTGGCTGACCCCTCTGGGGGCCCAGTACTTGCACGGTCTTCCACTTTGCTTCCGTGTCCGGCGGTCCCGTCTGGTGAGCTGTCTGGTCTCCACCTCCCCTCGTTCTCTACGAACTTGGTGAGCAACGCCGTCCTTCAGGATTACTGGGTTGACACCTTTACTCCTGGAGGACAGCGTGTGGCGATCTGCACGTGCTCCCGGACCGGCCGTCACCTGGCCACGTTCACACGTGCGCCTGGGTCCAGTCTGTACACCCTCACCACTGCGTCGCGCTCCACCCCTTTGTCTCCCCAGCTGTACGCGTCTGCTCAGGTAGCTACCCAGTGTGAGTGTCGCCGACTATCGCACGACACTCTCCTGTGGCACCACCGCCTTGGTCACCCCTCCCTGCCTCGCCTTCGTAGCATGCACTCTCGCTTCCTGGTCTCTGGCTTTCCCAGGTCTCTGCCTGCCCTCCCTCCCTCGCCTGCGCCGCCCTGCATTCCTTGCGTCGAGGGGCGGCAGCGCGCCGCTCCTCACTCCTCCTCGTTCCCTCCCACAGAGGCTCCACTGCAGACTCTCCACCTGGACGTGTGGGGCCCAGCCCGCGTCCGTGGACAGGGCCACGAGCGGTACTTCCTGCTGGTCGTCGACGACTACACGCGTTACACCACGGTCTTCCCCTTGCAGCACAAGAGGGAGGTCCCTGATGTTTTGATCCCCTGGATCCGCGCTGTTCGTCTCCAGCTCCGCGATCGGTTCCACTCGGACTTTCCTGTCCTGCGTCTGCACTCTGACAGAGGTGGTGAGTTCTCCTCAGACCTCATGGCAGCCTTCTGTGCGGAGCACGGCATCCGCTAGACGTTCACGCTTCCGGCCTCTCCGCAGCAGAATGGGATTGCTGAGCGCCGCATTGGCTTGGTCATTGAGGTCGCTCGTACCTCCATGATCCATGCGGCTGCCCCCCATTTTCTGTGGCCGTTTGCGGTCCGGTACGCCGCGCATCAGCACAACCTCTGGCCCCGTGTCTCCTTGCCGGAGACCTCGCCCACACTGCTGTGGACGGGGAAGGTTGGCGATGCGTCTCGTTTCTGGGTCTGGGGTGCTCTTGCCTTTGTCCGCGATACCACCGCAGACAAGCTCTCCCCTCGCGCCATTCCCTGCGTCTTCCTTGGCTTTGTCCCTGACGCGCCTGGCTGGCAGTTTTACGACCTCACCGCGCGCCGTGTCTTTCCGTCTCAGGACGTCACCTTTGACGAGTCA